ATGGGCTCGGGACCTCCGGGTTTATGTCGTCTATTCGCACGATAATTAATGGGTTATTCTGAGACTATCTCAGGCCAAATTCTTCTTGATCAACATACGCTATCGACTTTTCAGCGTATGGAAGTCCCCTCGAAACATGTATGTTTTACCGGCCCATCCACAAGGCCGTAGGTGAACACGTTGATGAGCTTGTGTTCATCAACAGGGTTTTTCGTGACGCTAAACGCAATGTAGCGTAGTTGTTGTGCGTAAGCGTTCACGTCACGCTTACCTTGCTTGAGCCTCAGGAGTGCAGAGCATGCTCAAAACTCGCTCGTGGCGGCTCAGATGTTTTTTTTGAGCCGAGACTTCAATATCTCTAACGACTCAAGCACGTTTGGATCGTGGAGCTTAAGTCCCAAATGTTAAGCCTTTACTCGTCGTTTCAAATTTGACAGGGCTCGATGTGACGGGCCCTGATGGCGTCATCTAACTCGACGAACCATCTCAAAAGAGATTCTTCATCGGTTTTCTTGTACCTTAAGATATCTATCTTCAACGTTTCGGGCGACGCGTGTGCGTCGGCCCGCCCATCGACTGATGAGAGCCTTGCTATTGTAGCAAGGCTATCTTCTGTCTTTCGACGGCAAGTTCCCCTTGTAAAAATTTGTTGATAGCAGCGTGTTGCTGGTCTCTGCTTTAAGACTCCAACATACCACTGATGGTGGGCTCGCTCATGAGCGCACTTATAAGGCCGACTACCTCCCATTCTGAGTCATTCAGCTAAAAGAAGCCTTCACGTGTGACGTGAAAGCTGTCGTCTTCTACATCCAGCATATTCATGTTGAACGGACACTAAGTAGTCGTTGAAAGGACTACAAAGTTCTACCAGGTGTAACGGTGCACCCTTTGTTTGGGGTGCCGCGTAACTTCACGTGCACTAGTACGTGCAGAGGAAGCTAAACTATTTGAACTACTTGGTCAAGTAAAGGTAAAAAGAGAACTGTATTTAATATAGTTAAGCTATCAATATAACTTCATTCTTTATCTAACTATATTTAATCCACATCGTCAAATGACGACAACCTGATCACCACCCATTGTGCGCGTCTAGCAGCGACTGGTGGTAAATCTTGGTTAATAAGTCTGTAATAACCAATATTCAAGCAGCGCATGAACATTATCCTACAAGGAAAAATATTACTGTAGTATTATCTGCCTCGGATAATATTGGCAGGAAGCTGTAATCCTGGACAACCTTCCTATTAAGATCACTTGGTGATAATATTATGTAACGGGCTACCCCATTACACTATCGGTCTGTGGCTACCTTTGCATGTACCTTACTCTACCCCTTTACATGTGTAATTGCCCGATTTAATAAACGTTTGAAAGGTGATTAGATCGTTCGAGTTGTGGCTGTACTTAATAATATGACTATATCGCCAGCCTATTAAATAATATTAGCTAGGTAGAATTGCTTAAGGATCGAGATGTGTCCGCCTGGTGGTGAGGCGAGCGCAAATCTAGATTGCGAATATTTATCAGAGCTCACATTTCGCCTCGAATAGCATCTCGGTGAATTGGTTGTGAAGCAACGTAACAACATCGTCGTCTAGGACTCTTTTCCTATATATTCCAGATCTATCTCGAGCTGCTTGACGACAGATTGCAAGTTACTGGTGTCGGACTGAACGAGAGCGGCTGCAGCTTGCGCTTATTTCGCTGGAACTTTAAGGATATCCGCACACATCCGTGAGTGCAGGATTCCTTCAAAAATATGAATATGTACTACAACACGAAAGAAGCACAATTTGCATACAAGTAGCAAATTAACCACTCCTCTTGCAGTATGTTCAGCACTCATGCTATAAATGCAAATACAAATATTGATAAGTAGATTGTAGTTGGCACCGCGGTCTGGACGTCGGCGTCGTTGCCACTTGTGTTGAAGAACTAGACGTGATTGAAAGAATGAGGTAGACCGCCTAATGCTGCCGGCCGATAGCGCAAGAAAAAAGTTTGATAAGGTGTAGATCAAGCTAAAGCGACAGACACTAAGTTCTCTATCGGCTGACTTGGGTCCATGTGTTTACAGCATGAGGATTGGATCGGAAATGGATGCACATTGCAAGCTAACTTGATTTGAAAGCAGAACCCCAAGGCAAATTCCATTAGTATGAGTTTGCGTACGACAAGCTGCAGAGTGCAATTTACAGTCTGGCTCAGACATTAAAGGACATCTGGCTAATATGTTCAGCCTAAGGAAGCGCCTTGGGACCCTTTATGCTGCGATTGATCATCACCAGATGAACTGAGTTTTTATGAACAGTCTGCCACGGACAGACCCTTTCATATTCTTAAAATACAAGTCGTAATGGATTTAAATCACGTGTGTACCTCGGAAAAAATCCTCGAAGTGATTTTCATTCTTGGTTGTGCACATCGTACAGAGGCCGTGACCGCGTATCAGGGCGGCACGACTAGCAAGGCTGATGTTGATTCAGCAAAGCTGGGTGAGATATTAAAAAAAGTAAAAGCATGCAGAAAGCACGAAGGTGCTTCATCTGCAACGAGGCTGGGCATGTGCGTACAAATTGTATTTAAAGAGGGAAAATGGCCGGGCCAAAAGCCAACGGACCTTTCACAGGTATAAAGCAACAGGCTAAAAGAAGCAAAGAGAATTGCTACGCTAGAATGCCAAGAGAGTGGTATGTCAAGAAGGTGTTACCGTCGCGACCGGGTAAGAAAAAGAAGCCAGGATGAGAACAGGCAATGAAAGAAGTCCAAGGTACTGGACGTAAACCAGAAGATGTTGATCATGAAATACCGAATGCAGACTCGAAAGAAGACGCAGTGGCACCAGTGGGTACATGGATAGTGCAAGCAACACGCACGCTTCCTGTGATCGCTCTAGTTTTCAGCAGTACGAAAGTTGTGATCGTAAGAGACAGCGAAGTATTGCTAGGTTGGCTATAGATTATAGACAAAATATAAAGGCACCGGATCCGTACAGCTTCAAATAATAATGGGTGAAGGCATCTTCAAGACGAAGCTGACAGATTCTTTGTACTCGATGAAGCGCAACTAAATTTAGTTTCGCATTCCCAGGTCGAAAAGTAGGAAATTATGAGTAAGAACCGACGTGGATAAAGTGTTGGAAAGTAAAATTTCGTACCTAGCCGGAAACCAGTTGTACGCCGGTAAAGTCTGCTTGATAGTTATAGATTAGTCCGCATTAGAAGTAGTTCTAGAATGTTTGATGCGTAGGAAAACGTGTGGTAGCGGTAGAGGCTGCTGCGCTGAGAGGTCTTACTTTGCGTACGGTAAGCCACTGAGGAGGCCCGCGGCAGCGAGCCGAAACGCGTCTGGCACGCGTCCGAAAGTAAAGTCCTTTCTGGAATATGTTATTAGTTCTTTACAGAAAGGGCATTCATAATTTGGTGAAATAATTGTTTGACTATGATCGCACGAATGAAATACGAAGGTATGTTCACACTGAGCATAGCAAGATGGGGCGATGAAAATGAAGAGGAAGAGCAGGCAAAAGTACTGTAAAATGCAGACCCTAAAGCTTGTTTACTGAAGCTGATGGCGTCGATGATCTTTTAAATGGCACGAGCGTCTTGGGCATATGCCACTGCAAACTTACGGTTGACCACAGTCTTGTAAAGGGCATGGTACCAAAGAATCGCAGATTTCGCTATTGTAAAGTTTCCCATTCGGCGAAACAAAAGCAAAGTCGTCCAAGAGGTCTCTGTCATGGAATATTGACGGACTCCGTGACTTAATTGTGTTAGATCTGCTGTTTCCGCCAAGCAATAACGGAGCCCGATTTTCTGCTGTATAAGTAATTTCCAATGAGTAAAGTAGGTTGGTGAATATCTATCCTATGATAAATCTAGGAAGCTACTGAAGTGAATCTACTGATGCAACGATATGTCCAGTGGGCTAAACGTTAAGTGTAGAGGAAGGCAAAAAGTAGTGTTTCGGATAATGGCTCGAGTTTTCAAATGAAGAAATGCAAAGGGGGTATTAGGAATAGTGTATACTGCATCGCCCTGTTCCGCCAAAATCTTCCTGACCAAACCTGTGCATGCGCACTATACAAAGCATTGCTGGTTTATCAAAAGCTATGATGCTACAGTTCTGTCTGGTTTTCCAAAGTCAGTATAAGTGAACGCGCTATGTACTGCTGTGTAACTAAATAATCGTACTTACTCAATGGTATCCAAAAAGACCCTATACGAGTGCATGTTCAATAAATCAGCCAGACATGCACCATGTTCGAAAGTTTGGTGCTCGATTATTGTAAAAATACGACTGGATATAAGGTTACCCTGAGAGTCGCACGACACGATATGTTGCAGATGCAAGTGTCAATGAAAGCGTTGTGTTCAAAAGATCGGCACTCATTGCAGCCAGATCTCAGCTCTAATGTTTGCAGTGATGAGAGCAGCATGATTAGTGATAGATGTACGAACTTCAGCAAAATGTAAGTGGATGCCGCCTCCAGCGCAGCTGATGGATACCGATAATCGGGAGATGAGTCTATCGAAGCTTACAGAAGGGTGCGGCACGTCGTTTGTACGACATGCCGCACCTTGCTCCAAGCAGAATAAGTTTGCTCATCGACGACTGATTGACCGCGTGTCTCAGGTTGAACTAAAGTGTGTACACTTAATTCTCAATCAAGGCTACTCAATGTATCTCAATCATTACATCAAATGTTACACTTTCGTACCAAGTAACAAAAAGGGCTGGGGGGGGAGCACAAATAGATGGCACTGTTAGCAAAGAGCAAGATTTGCGCGTGTGTAAACAGAGTAGAATAGAGAACAAAATGTTTAAACGCAGTTAGAAAGAGACCTTGATCATGCACACGACAACCCGTCGCAGTAAATCAGTCTTGCTCCTGCGACCCTTCGCAGTAAGCCACCCTTTGTCTTTTTACGGCGGCGGATCATGTACACTTAATGCACATGATCTTCCAACAATCCTTCCCGTCACCTTGATGAACATCACTTCAGTCCAATTAGCAAACGCAATTCTTGAATCCCTGCATCAGGCAGCACCTTCGTCAGTAAATCTGCGACCATCGTCTTCGTACTTTCAAAAATTGGCTTGGCCGTCTGCTTCTTGGCGTAATCACGTAAAAACTTGAGCTTCACATCCACATGCTTCATGCTGTCTGAGCTCGCTTCGTTTTCAAATTTCTTTACTGCAGCTTGGCGATCGATCTTGAGTACCACAGGTGTCTTCACTCGCTGCCCGAGCTCTTCATATAGCTCCTTCAATCCTAGCGCCTCACACCCGCCGACTGACGCAGCGACGAATTCCGCTTCCGCATTTGACTGAGCCACAGCGGCTTGTTTCTTGCAGTGCCAACCTACAGTGATACCATTAACCGTCTGCACACCTGCACTCGCAGATTTTCGATCTTCAGTATCAGCCGCGAAGTCCGCATCACTAAAACTGACAATCCTGATGGGCGACTGGGGATCGCTGTCTCCACACAAATGCAGCTTTAAACATTTCTTTCCCTTTAACTACCATGCAATCTTTTTTGCAAGCTTGTAATCCTGTAGTGTCGGCGCGTGACTTCGCCTAGTCGCCCTGTGCACAGAAAATGAAATCTCTGGACGCGTACACCGCGATATCCATAACAAGCTCCCAACTAAAGACTAAAAATCTTTAACATTAGGTACTTGATGCAATCCCACAGTCTTTTCTTTTAGCAGCTCGTTGTCTCCTTCAACCACAAGCATTTCAAATATCGGTAATCGAACCGGTATGCTGCAGCCAGATCATGTTTCTCGAGCACTTCTGGAATAATTTGCTCCTGGTAGATCTAATATCCTCCTTCTTTTGTCCACGCAATTCTCATTCCGAGAAAATTCTTAGCAATACCGAGTTTTTTTTAGCTCAAGCACCTTCATATCAGCAAAGAATAGGTCAATACGTTTCAGCGTCGTACCTGTAATTAGCAAGTCATCAACGTAGACCCCGACAATAGTCATTCCATCCTCGTCAACCTTGTAGAATACGCACGGATCTGTTATGCACTATTCGAAATCGATATTGAGCAGCGTGTCGCACGACAATCGATGTCAAAGTCTTCCTGCGTAATTCAATCCATAAAGAATCCGTCCAAGGAGCAAGAATTATTCGTCGGGCTCCGTTCGGCCAAGTCGGTCCAGAGTGTCTTGTGTCACTGTCATTCCATCATTTTATTCTCAAGTGAACCTCGTACTCTGACTCCGTGAAATTCTACGCTTACGCGCTTAAGACGTCTCCATGCCTATCCGGCACCCCTCCCACATCCGTGAAAGCGTAAAAATGACAAGTGCATGTCCTACCGGCATCACCGTAGAGAATGCGAGGTTGCAATTTGTTTTCATTATTTGTTTGTCGCCTCGAACCACCAGTCTCGCCTTGTATCTTCCCACAGTTCCATCTACCCTCATCTTAGTTTTATAAACCCACTTAGTTGGAAAAGGTTTCGAGGCCTTTGGATGTTTAATCACTGTCCATGTTTCGTTTCTCTCGAGCGACGCAAGTTTCTATTTTTTAGCAATCGCCCATCTAGCATTGTCAGATCCAGGGCGCGCTGCCTTGTAATTTTCTGGGTCTGCTATCGTGAGTTTTTGTTGATGTGCTTGTCCACGGGCAGCACTGCGAAAGCCTTGAGCACTGAATCGACACTTGCAACTATTTTGCACTCGTTTCCAGTTCTTCCACATTTGTGCATCTGCCTTGATATGAAAAGGTAAGTGGACATGCCTTTTCTTGTATTTCCATGCTCCTTCATTCACCATGCTCGTCCGCTTCAGCTTGTTTCCTTGACTTGGTACGTTTTCGCTGTGATCTCCTCGGATTTGACGGAAATAGGTTCTTCGGCTTTGCAAAAATTTCTTCTTCTGCCACTCGATGCTTACTCTTCACTGCCTTTCTCACTTGTTCAATAATTTTTCCTCTGTCATCATGAAGTGCATGTTGAACATGTTCATTCGCTGTACCAACAAGTGTTTCAATGTTGGTGATATGTCTTGTTGTCGTCACGATTCTGTCCTTGAGCAGCAACGCCTTGTATCCCTTTGTTTCTTCGTTTTTACCCAGGATCAGTGCTCGCTTCGCATGACGCGCCATGGTCTGCTTTTAGGGTCCTGCAAAACCATACACGGAGACCCAAACATAACGATACCTTGCCAACTCGGTGCCCGCTCGGTGAGTACTTCAATCGGCGACGCACGCCCTAAATTTGCTCGAGTCGAACTCTGGCTAAGCGTGTATGCCGCATACTCTGCGGCCTCACTCCAATACATCAGCGCTAACCTGAACCGAAAATCATTGAGCGCACCATGTTGAAGACGATGTGGTTCATCCGTTCAGCTTTACCGTTAGATTGCAGAGTACCTGCTTCTCTTACTTGACGTCGTACGCCTGTCGGTTTTCAGAAGAGACTGACCACTTCATATTCTCCTCCGCCGTCAGTGCGCAGGACATGGGTGCGGCAATTGAACTCGTTTTAAACCACTCTAGAAAATGCTCAAACATCTTGGCCGCAGCATTTATCTGCCGTGCCGCAAATACGTGCACGTAATTTGACTTGTAGTCAATGAACACGACCAACTATCGGTTTCCACGACAGTCCCTTGGGGTGATCGGTCCTTTAAGATCACTACCGATCACACCCCCGATGCGATCCGTTGGTGCGTTTGCACCCGAGTCGTTCTTGGGCTGTCTAGGCCTAGTGCTCTTCGCTTCAGCGCACGTGATACAATTTACACGCACGTGATCAGTAAGCTCAATGCCGTAATCAGGGTCTTTGGCCATACGCTCCACGGTATCGTAAGCTATGTGTCCCAGACGAAGATAAAAATGGTGCAGCGATCCTTTCTGTACATCAAGTTTGGGTCCTGTATCTTGAACTGCCGTCATCACAATCTCATTCAGTCGTTTTGGTGTCATTTTCGACAGACTTGGAGTCAATTCGGCCACAAACACTCCATACTCAGTTCGTAAATTAAAGAGAGGATCTTTGCTTAGCTGCATGCACATCAGATCGCCTTCCGTATCCAATGAACACCCGTTTTCAAACAACTTGCCCATAGAGATGAGGTTTCTAGCTAACTTGGGTGCATGATATACCTCAGTAAGTGTGATGTAGGTCTTGATACCATTAGCAGCACCGTGTAGAATCACAGATCCTCGTTTAGCCACCTTAAGTACACCTCCGTCAGGCAACAGGAGTACATCATTTTTATCACAACTTGTGAAATCGTGGGGCAAGTCAGGGTCGTGAACAAGGTGTCTACTTGCCCCACTATCAACCACCCATATGTGTAGCTTCCTTCTGTGACGTCAAAAACGCAGCCAGTTGATGACTCCTTTGTTTGGTGGCGCTTCGGGCTCTCGCATGCAGCCAATACAACATTAGTTTTCCCGCGTCCATATTCCTTCTTCGGTTGGTAACATTTTCTCGCCAAATGCCCTCGCTTGCCGCAATTACAACACTTTTGACCTTCACCATGAGAGTGACCTTGAACTTTGCCATGACCGACTGCACTGACTATGCCCTTGGTCATTTTTATCCACTTTTCCATCGTCCTCAACCTCTTGCGCCCATGCGGTGAGCTCTTGAGCGTGTGTGAGGTAGTCCGTGCGACTCGGTTGGTATCGCACCATCACCGCAATTTTGAGGTGCGGTGCAACCTGCTTATTCTCCATGACGAGTCGTTTGTGTGACTTGCTTTCTTGACACAATGCTATCAGGTATAAGAGATGCTGCTTCCACGAACGCTACTTGTCCTTTTCACTCGCAAACAATGCGGCGGCTTGTTGGTGCGTCATTGTCACCTTGAACGCTTGGTATAACTGGTCGAGTGCGTGGTACAATGTCGGGTTGACCGCCCACCATGTCCTCACGTTGACTTAAAAATTTGCTGCAGCCACACTGTTTGGTGCCATGTATTATCCCAGCTTGTCTACTTTGAGGCGTTCTCTCCACGCAAACTGAATCTGAATCTCGTCCATCTCGATCGCCTCGAGGAATGTGTACCCTCACTGCTTGAATCCTGTTTCGAGGCTTGTGCACTGCTCTTCTCCCGTAAATTATCTATCACAAGCTTGGGAATCTTGTTCGTTCCCGATGGTGCCATGTTTGGAGATTTATAGACCGAGTGTCTTCCAATAGGCGTGTTCTCTCCCCGACCCTTTAAGACATTTTTTGCTCCAAATCCACTGTCACCAAGCTCATTTAGTGTGAGTCCTCCACCAAGTTCAGATGTTGCACGACCAATTGTGGCCGGTCCTTGACCTCGCGGTGCTGTGTGAGGGACATCTGCTGGCAAAGGAGGAGACTTTGAAGCGCTTCCAAAGCAGCTGCTCCCATTTTGACGAGCATCGATTTGACCAAAACGGCTGTCTATCAGCATCTTGAGCACTCTTGCGAGAGCTGCCGCCTGGTCCACAGGCGGCGCTCTATCTTTACTCTTTTCTTCAGCATGCCCCTCCTGTGCTGTGCCTCGCCCTTCCATCTTGATCCCCCTTGTTGGTCACTTTCGTGAGCCGTTCTGCTTGTGTGGACTAGGTGCTGTCGAGCTTTCGTCACGATCTCTTACTAAGTCCTTAAACTTAGGCTTATAACATTTTGGTAAACTGCAAGATTTGCGCGTGTGTACAACAGAGTAGAATGGGGAATAAAACGTATTGATGCAGTTAGAAAGAGACCTCGATTATGCACACGGCAAACCTTCGCAGTAAATTAGTCACTGTCTCTTTACGGCGGCGGGTCATGTACACTTAGTGCACATGATCCTACAACAGGCACAACATGTTGTCCCCATATATTTCCGATAAACGGAAAGGGGGACAATCAATAGGTGATATTGAAGACAGACTCAGAAATCTCGGACGATCCAAATGACGATGTACTAGCTGCCTTGGATGAGAGCAAAGAGGATGAAGACCTTTTGAGCATTTGGAGAATGTTTGTATCTCTGATCCAGGTTTGCCTGAGGCCGTCGAAGTCGAGGCAGAGGTTGATGAACTAGCGAGGGACAAACAAAGTTCTTAGGATCATAAGACGATGAGAGTTTGAGGTAGCGAGAATGAGAGCCAAGAAGCTTATTTTTCGTAAATAATGATTTTGGGTGATCAGACAATTCTGATATCGGCCTTGAAGACGAAATCGACATCCTGAACCCAGATGAGCCGCTTACCGCAGACGGGGAATGTTCTATGACAGATATCGTACCTGTCAACATTGACCAGTCCTGCGCGATTGTCGATCCAGATCAGCAGATCGTAGGGCGGAGGCGTACTCGAGATGAAACGACGGACCTATTGCTATGCGACGACTTAAACGCGGCACAAGCGGCAGCGGATATGCGACGAAGCAAACGTGCAAGAAGATCCCCAAAATATCTCGACACCTACTATGTGAACTCCACCATGATGTAGGGCACGATAATCGAAATGATGACATCGGCACGAGGTAATGACTAGAGTCTGAAGTCAAATTACCTTTAGGATTTAAGTACACTATGAATTCACAACAGGCAAAAGAGTGGTTAGAAGGCATGAAAAGTGAGATGCAAGCTGTGTATGACAAGGGGGATTTGGTGGAAACTACGAGGAAGAAAGAGCCGAAAAGTCATCGAGTTATAAGAATTATGTGGCGGTTTACGTGAAAAGTGACTCTGATGGACATACCACCCGTTTTCGCCCACGATTAGTAGCTCTCGGCAATCACCAAACGCCTGGAGTAGACTATCACGAAACCTTTTTTCCTGTCGCTAGGATGGCTTCCTTTCGACTACTTTAGGGACTGGCGGCGAAATTCTCGCTAATAGTCTACGCTGGTGACTTCACGACTGCATACTTGAATGCGGATCCGAAGATAAAGCAGTACGTGAGTAGTGTACCTGAATTCTCGTGTAAAGTTGAGATGTGTTTGTATGATAAACAAGACATTGTACGGCCTGCAACAGTCTGGGAGAATATGGAATGAGGAACTCGATCAGTTCCTTAGAAGATCGGATACATGGCCGTACAAACGGAGCCATGCCTGTACTGGAAATCGAAAGCAGATGAAATTTCTCTTCATTGGTTTACGCTGACAACGTAATTGAAGCAACGAATTCGAAGCGAAAACACGAAGCGCTATTCAAGAAGATTGATGCACAGTATGAGCTGCGTGACCTTGGCGAGTTGAAGAGATGTCTGGGTGTTGAGGTCAAACAACGGAAGGGTGAAATTTATATTCATCTGAAAGTATAGTGTCAAGGTGTACTCGCACGATACGGGCTAGCGAATGCGCATGCCAGCCGCATCCCAATGAAATTTACCGCACGATTTCAGCTCAAAGGATGATGTTTGTGGTGCAGATAAACACTCGTTGGAGATTGAATACCGGGCTGCTGTAGGTAGCCTAATGTACCTAGCTACGAGCACAAGACCAGACAATTTTTTTGATATTAAATACCTGAGCAGATTCGTCAGTAGACCGACTCGTAAGCATTGTGGAGTGGTAAAGAAGGCTCTGCGATACCTCGTTTGTACGCCAGCTAAAGGAATTGTGCATAAGTGCACTTCGAGGGGTGAAGTTGAAGAAGGACTCTCGATTCAAGGGTATTGTGACAGTGATCGGGGAAATGACCCGGAAACAAGAAAAAGCGTGACTGGACACATCACTAGTCTAGCAGGTGGAGCTATCTCATGGGCCGCACGACGACAAACGATCGTCGCAATGTCCACTGCTGAAGCAGAGTAAGCGGTCGGTGCTGAAACAGCTATGGAGGCAATGGGTACTACCGAACGTGAAAGTCCACGTGAATATCGCAATACACGACCAAGCTGCTTTCGTCCTGAGTAAGGAACCTGCTTACTGCAGACGAACCAGACATATCGAGCTGAAGTGGCACTACATTCGTGAGCTCATCAAGAAGGGCAAGTTGACACTGCGCAAGGTTGCATCCAAGGAGAACCCTGCAGATATGCTAACGAAGGCATTACCAAGCCGTTGCTTGCCAAGTCTTTGCATGCTTGCGGTGGTTCGGATTCCAGACTAGTCCGACAGACGCAGCGATGCGTGCTATGTGCCGGACGGCGGCGTGTTAGAATTCGTTAGGCTTGGATAGCCATATGACCCAGTCACACTTGAGAAGGTATATGGACAGCGAAGTCATCAAGGAAAGTTATGACGGAAAGGTGCGTAGTGCATTACGCTACAGTGTGTGTCAACTGTAGGATCTAGCAAGTCTTGCTGCTTGCTGGGTCAGTCGGCATTCGGATAGGCAAAAGAAACGAGATAGCTGAAGAACACACCGAACGGTTTCGGTGAGTAACTCGTATTGCATTCATAACGAAACGTCAGTGCCAGGTTCGTACCGGTTGTAAGGATATGATTGGAAAAGAGGGTGGCCGTACATGCATGGCCTGGGCCGTAACCGCAATTGCTAACGACAACATCGACGACAGCTAAGCCTGACTTGCTGACGTCAGTGTGCATAGGAGAAGTCCTCAGCCCAATCTTTGGCAAGCAGGTATTCGTCCACGTAACATGATCGTGAGATTGGGCGAGGTATAAGGCTCGATCAGCTTTCGTATACATTCTTCTTAGAGCTTTACCGTCATGAAGGAAAGCGCAGTGATACATTGCAACAGCACCGGCAATCACGTCATCACACACCATTTCGTTCATCCAAGAGTGACATCAGTATGTGAGACCGAATGCCTAGAGGCGGGGTCATGAGATTCCTATGACTCCGTCTGTGTCCCTACTGCTATTTCCATTCAGCCGGGTGAATCACCGCGTCATCGGTTCCAATACGTACAAGTCACTAGCTAGTAAAACGCCATGAGCTCAGCCCACCGCCAACAACTAACTACCTACACAACCACCTAACTAGCTGGCGCAACCCTCTCGGCCCTGATCTTCATCTCTTTTTTTTTTCAGCATACAGTGAGCACGTCATTTCTCCCGCTTGTCAAAGTCACCTGAACCGAGTATACCGCCCCGGGGATCGATCGCTCAAATCCAAAGTCAGTTCGCCCCACCCGCAGACTTTCAGTCGGTACTTCGACGCCGGTCTCGGATTTTCTTCCAACAGCCAGACAGTCAGTCAGTCAGACAGTCGGTCGGTCTGGTCACAAGAGACGGTCAGTCTGGTTTTGGGCTTCGAGGGCGTCACATCCATTGGGTCCCTCCTCTTTCGGTCCCGCTCGGTCCTTCGCTTGCAACGGACGGTGGAAGCTGAATGGGAACTTTGACCGGGACAGACGCCCCCATCGTTCCGCTCGTGAACCGGTCGGACAGCAGCGACGAGGCGCGCACCGACACGTCGTCTTTGTCCCCCACTATGACCACACAAAAAACACGCGAGACGAAGAGCTCCGTAGACGATCGCGCTGGTAAAGTTATCGCAACAGTTCAAGCAGGTGCTTCTTCGTTGAACGGAAGAGGGGCGAAGACCGGTGGCGTAACTGCTGCGAAAGAGGAGGAAGAGGCGGAGAAGTCGAACCGGAAGCACCGCAAGTACGAGCGCAAGACCAAGCGGTTTATCTGGCCCGATGATCTCCATCGACTGTTTGTAGCTGCTATCTTTGACGGTGCGTTCGTGCAACTGTGAAGGAACTGGTAGAGAGCTGTCGGGTGGGTGTACGGACTGACACTGGGGTCTCTTTTGTTCTTTTGTGGTCAAATGCTCTTGTGTCTGAATCTCTCTCTAGTCGGTCTAAAAAATGCCTCGCCAAAGTCACTCCTTGCGGTACGCTTTTGCAGTTCCATGCTCTCATCTTGGTCGTCTTGTCCTTGGAGTTGGTTGCACTTTGCATGTAGTCTAATGACACGGATCTGTGCATCATTTGTCTGATCTCTGGTTGTGATGGATGCAGCTCATGGAAGCAGCAGGACCTGATACAGGACTCACCACGGAGCATCTCAAGTCGCATCTGCAGAAATACCGTCTCAACTATGAGCGGTCTCGGATGCAGTTTCTCGAGTATTACGAACAAAGCGCCAAGCGCAATCTCAAGCGGCGGCGGTGTCACCAGGCTCATCACCGAACTCATGCAGCAGGAAGTGATGCGAACACGACGTTCGTGTTCCCTATTAGTAACGCGAAGCGCCGGAAGAGACGTGAAGGCTACAGTGACAGCAATGGCAGCGACTCGGATACTGGTGACAGCAAGTCCGATGACAACAGGATGCAGGTGGATACAAAAGGACGGGAAGCCGCACAGAGACTGCGTGCTGGTCCAATATCAACTCCAGAAGCACATCGGCGTAGTCTTAACTACTCGCAGCTGATGCAAACTGCACAGCAGCAGCCAGCGGCCAACTGTCTACAGTCTCCGATACCCAATGGGCATATGACGCACGCTGTGCCAGCACTGGCATCCACGAAAATGTCCTCTACAGCACCTCATCACCTGCCACCAGATTATGCGCGAGTTCAACAGAAGCAGCGTTCCGACCACGACGGTGACTTGGTGGCAGCGTCAGCTACTGTAACCGCATACCCTTGTCCATCAGGACAGCTATCGGGCTCTGTTGCTGGTGGAGTTGCTGGTATACCGGAGCTTACCGATCCGCAGTGGAGCATTCTGAACTCTCTCATGTCTCCGCAGCTCGCAGGCATGAATGGACTGATAGGTGGAAATGGGCTGTTTTCACAAGTTGCAACGAGCGAGACGATAACTCGTGGTGGCAATAGCGCAGACGGGTTTACACTCCACGAGGGACCAACTGATCTACAAGTGCAGATGCATCTCGCCATGCAAGCCCAAATGAATCTGCACCGTCAAATGCTTACGCGAAAGGTGGAAGTGGCACAGCATCTCGCTCGTCATAGCAGCATGAGTGCAATGGACAGTAGCCCAGTATCGAACGATCCGAGCAACCCGCACGTTCCCCCCAGAGACTACGGCGAATCGTGGAACAATGCGCAGCAGCTTCAGCACCAACCATATCAACAACACCACCTCCAGCAGCGGCAACAAGGACACTATCAACAGCAGCTACATGTAATATCTCGGCCACCATTGTCCACCTCGACATCAAATACGCAATTATCGTTGGCAACGGCAAACGTACAAACCGACACGATTGTAGGAGCCGGGATAAGCGGCGACGCTATGGAAATTCCAGTGCCAGCAGGTAGCAGTGTGTCTGCGGTGACGGTGAGCGACGTAACTGGATTGGCAACAGAGACGAAGGCTGGTGATGACGGGATTGATCTGTACCGTTGGGATCGCATCGATTTGAATGTGGAGCTGGATGACGATGATCTTTTTGGTTTTCTGAAGTCGTAAGAGCGTCACTTGTGAGCGAAGGAACTCATGTATGTACGAATGGAAACGGCATCGATGTACTACTGCCAAGTGGCGTCCATGTTAAACCCCGACAACGAGGTGTCCCGATGCGTCGCTCGCGGGGTGACACAAATGTACGCGAACGAGAGAGTGAAAGACAACGAACACGTTCCGCTAGTAACATGTCATCAAATAAGAGCAACACTGGAGGTGGTGAAGCTCTTCCTCTTGTGCTTTTGCTGCAGCATCCACCTATTCAAGCTTATCGCCTTCTTCTACTGGAAAAGACCTCGCCATTCTTGCCTCGCCACCCTTGTCCATCATCTCGCAACGCCTTTTGCGCTGTGTATCAGAGCTACTGGTTATCTGCCATGGGCTCCGTGCCATCCGTTGGCGACTCGGTCGGTGGCTTCTCGTCGTCCAGTAGCCCGCGGATAAAGAGCACGTTGTTACAGCGCACAAGTGTCTCCCCCAGATTCCCAGTGAGCTCTCCATTGATGTATTCCTCCGTGTTCGCCAGCTGCAAGTTCATGTACGAGTCCACCGACAGTAGCACGCCCTTGTACTCCATGCCCCACTTCAGTCGGGCTACCACGGGTTTGCCCGTCAGGTTACTCAGGAACGGCTTCGGGTTCAGGATCAGACCGGACTATAGGGACCAACACAGACACACAGACAGGCACCCACAACACACACATATACAAGTTGGTTCAACACCCTGACGGTTAGAACCAACGCAAGAGCATCAAGGGAGCTGCCATAGAGAGAGAGGCTCGAGGAATCGAGGAGCACGCACCATCTTCGGTCTTTGGACGGTGGCTAATGACCGCTTTTCTGTTTTCAGCCAATGAAATCGCGCGTATTTCGTTCACACCAACAATAATGACAAGTGAGAGGATGGCACTATGTTGAATCACGCATGGCTCTTGTCTATCGCTGCTGCGCCGTCCAGCGTCATGACCTTGTGCTCGATGCGCGTGATAAAGTTGCGGCGTGCTTCAGAGTCGCGTACGAAAACATGAAGCACAGGGATGCCAGGTACGACGTATTTCTCATACGTCAACAGCTGCCGCAGCGTGCAAAAAGGCGACAGCTCGATCCAAAACTGCGTCTTGGCCTCGTGCTTCTCCTCGAGACGGACGCGCTGCACTTCTTCGTCATCGTCTTCTTTTTCGCCGCTGAGACTGACGTGCCACGCTTTCGGACTTGCGTACGGCACAACGCTGTCCGCAGCAGCGTAGACAACTAACTTGGACGCCACAAACTCCTTCTCTGTGTCCCACTCGGCAAATGGACCGGTCTCTGGAAACATGTTTGCCAGGTGTTCAATCACGCAGTCCTGCTCGCCAAAGCACTGCACAAAGTCGGACGTGCCGTGCTGGTCATAGAGAAAAAGCACAGGCCAGTACATGTTACCGCTTGCCGGGTCCACGTCAGCTTTGCCTTCGTACTGCCGCACGCGCTCGTCGTCCACTAACGCACGACCCACTCGAATACCGCGACCTGTGCACAGTTTGCGGTACTTGTCCGTCGCCGCGCGACGTTGCATCCGTCCCCTCTCATACTTGAGCTTCTCAGCACGCAGCTCTTGCACCAATTTCCGTCCCTCTATCTGCAACTTGAGCAGCAACTTGTTCTCCGGGTCGTGCTTGAGCCCTTCCTCGCAGTACCGCAGCGTATCCGTTGGCTTCCGAAGCATCCGAGAAGCTTTAGCACCGCGGAAATAGGCCTTGACATTACTCGGATCCAGATGAATAGCTTTCGCGGCATCCGAGCGGCAACTCCCATAGTTCTTGAGCTCCAGCTGCACAGCTGCTCGATTGCACAGAATCTGCGACGTGAGCTGCTTCAGGTCGTACGACAGATCGCGCTCTTCCATCGGCAGCGCCAGTGCCTTGTACGCGTACACGAGCGCGTCATTGTAGCACTTGAGCGCGCTCGGGAAGTACCCTCGATGCGCCTTCTTGGCGTCCGCGAACATGTCGTTGCCCTGTTTCTTCCAATGGAGCGCGAGACTCTCGGCCGTCTCGCCGTCTTCAATGAGCGCTTGAATCGCGGCCACCATCTCGTCGCCCTCGACTACGTGGTCGTCGAACAACGTCATGTCCGGCAGTGCATCCATGTACGCTTGGCGCCGTTCCGGGTCCCACAACTTGCTCTCATCGATCTCCAAGTCCACGCCGACCATGATGTCGAGGACTGGTCCTCAAAAAGAGTGGCCGCGCTCTATTCGAGTGGATCCACTTAAATACGAGTAGTCACACGCCGGTAGTCAAAAAAGCACACGCGCGACCTAAACAAGCGGGACCAAGTATTTTAAGGGCAGACGCAAGAGTGATGGTCAACGTAAACGACTCCGACCAGGGCGCACGGAGCGACGCCGCAGAGCCGCTGCCGCTGCCGCTACTGGACACAGACGAGACGTCCGCGTGCGTCCAGTGCTACAAGACGGACGTCAAGTACCGCTGTCCGCGCTGTGAGCGCCTCACGTGCTCGCTGCAGTGCTGTGTGGGCCACAAGAAGCAGGTTCGGGCTCTCGTCAAGCAAGAAAGACCCGACTTTTACTAACAAACTGCCACTACCGGGCCTTATTCTTTGTCATGCATTCTGGCTCGTAGTTTGACTGCAACGGCAAGCGCGATCGCACCAAGTTCGTGCGGCTGCAGGAGTTCACGGACGCCGATCTCTCGAGCGGTACGCGCCATCTGATTCTATTGGAAGCCATGAGGTCTCGGTCCCTTTTTTGGGCTATCACTCTGATACTGACGTGACCCACATATTGTGTACCCTTGTTACGCTATTGGGTTACTCTATCTAGACTTTTTCTTCCTGGAAGAAGTCGCTCGCTCAGCAAACTGCGCGGCACGGTCGCACAGTCCATTGAATGCAACAGTGCGACGCTATGGCAGCAATAAGAAGCAAAAAAGTGCAAGGATGAAGCAACGCGGTCGACAGCTGTCACACCTTGTGAACCCGGACGTGCCGGCCGACTGGTTGACGCGCTTTCCTGTTGCTGTGCAGCTATTTGCAAAACATGCAGCTGGAAATGGCGTCGCGCTGACGATCCTTGCACCGGGAATGAGCAAACGAATGCGTAACTCGTCTTATGTGGATACGAAGAACAAGACAGTGTTTTGGCGCGTTGAGTGGCTATTTCCTAGTGCGGAGGTGCCCGTGAGTCATTTCGAGAAACGAGCAGATGAGAAGATGACACTCTATGCACTGATTGAGAAGTACCTTGCTCCTACCCAGGTGCGTTTGAAACCTGAGACATAGTGATGTTTTACGTGGTTGGTTACATAAACAATGTGCGTCTGCTTGCGTCTTGTGTAGGAAAATGTTGCTGTATGTGGAAAGCTAAAGAAGTACGCGGTGCCTGACTGGGAGAAACATGTTTTACTGCTGCTGCGAAAAGAGTTCACTCCGGCATCATGTCCACAATATTACCGGCTGAATGGCAACGAGAGTCTGGGAAGTAATTTGAAACGAAAGGCGGTGGCCGAGTTTCCCGTGATCACCGTTGCGCTCGTGGCTAACGCTGACAAGTATCCCGTGGCTCACGATATAATCGAGGCGATTGACTCGATTGAAAAAGATGAGCGACCACATGCTACTGAGATTAAAGCGGTGGAGGCCGAAAGCAGGGATGTGCGCCATAAGACTGGTTTGGAGTTGTTGACTGTTGACGACACAGGAAGTTTGGTCAATCACTTTGCTACATCAGAAAAAGATGACAGACAAGCAAAAGCAACCGTCCAGTCCGAAAAGTTGCTGATCGAAGAAGTTCGGGTTTCTGCTCACTAGAGATGAAATGGACGTACCTTTACTCGGCGAATAGAGACCTGTTATAGATTGCGCACTCTCGACTATTTGTAAGGAATGCGCTTGAAGTTGGATCTCCCATCAGGGTGGCTAAGAACCGACAATCTTGGTGCTCGTATCCTCATGCAGAAGACAACGGCTGCAAAGGCGTTGTACTGGTGCAAGTGCATGGTATCCACTGCTCGATTGCAACATTCAGTACGCTCATGTCCTGGGTCAGACAAACCAGCTAACAACCTGATGGGTACCGCCGGTATGCACAATGTTGACAAAGAAAGGTACAGTTGTACTTTCAAGTGTCGATACGCGGGACGTGTTATACATCTCCAACTGATAGACTATCTGTGTGCGACTCTATCTGCAAGTACACAAATACATCTAATCAGTTATTTGTGAGTCGTAATTTGCCTTTGTTCTGACAGATGGCAAAAAATGGGAGCAGTGCATAAAACCGCAATTTGCGTCAAGTGAAGCTCCCAGTACGCAATTATATTCGACGGCGACCACGATCATGCTCGCGTTCGCACCCATTTCTATCGTAACAGAACTTGACGAGCCTAAGATTGGACGTATCACCGCCGCCAGTACTACATTACTACGAGTGGATGTGGGGTGGTGCAGTTCCTGATAGAGAAATGGACGTCGCTAGTCTGCACGTAGGGTCGCCAGATGGAATTACGCCTGCAAGGAGCGGGACGACCACATAGGCCAGGGTCATGAAACTACTCGAGTGATTGCGGACAGCATGTAATCGCGCCATTCAGATCGAAATTGACAGCCCGTCGTCACGAGATGACTGGGGAGCTGGAAGACGGTCATGCGGTCGCTGCTATTCCAGTTATTGCAAAAGCGCCTTCTGTTCATGAGCGTGCTGTCCCTTTAGCTCTGCTAAAAGGGTTCGGATCACCCACAGTGCGAAACCTTTGCCACAAATGTTACTCCCTGACCGCTACAGCTGGTAGCTGTTGAAGCAGTGTTTGTCGTAGCTCGGATTTCGCTTGATCGGCGGTTGTTTCCTCGTGACTGTGCACCCAGCGGTTCCGCTGTGCCCATAGGGTGGCGAAGCGGATGGAGCACGCTATCCACCAAACTCGTACCCAATTCCTGCCGTTCTCCCCCGCCGTTTCCGGAAACAGGCGAAACGCTCGCTGCATGAGCGTCGTCCATACATCTTCATTGGCCGCCGTCTCCAAAACTTACTAAAGAAATTATTGGATCATCGGGTGAACGAGAAACACTGAAGTGCGATGATGCGTGCGCTACCAGTATTGACCCTGTTCGAGCGATCGATGTAACTCGAATTGTGTAAGCTAATGGATGCCAGTGGCACCTTGGCGGAGGCGAATAGCAGAAGCCCCGGACACACGGGGCGTCGGCGAGACCCGACAAAAAATGTAGCCTGTATCCGTGTCCTCTGAAATACGTACCGAAATGGGTTCATGATTCCAAATGATAAGACGTAATGTGTGCCAATGTTGAAGGGTGGAGGGTGACGCGGACCGTTCGCAATCATTCTAGAGCATGCGGTCCATTTGTATGGCTCGCATGGTGCGACGATATGCTGCCGATTTGCCATCGGTCAGAACAAATGCAAAGCACGACTCAAAAAAACTGATTAAATGTATGTGAGTAGTCGGAGATAGAGTTGGACACGGGTAGTCGTTCAGTTGGAGGTGTTTGACGCGTCCCTTGATACGCACCTTTTTTGTTACTGCTACACATGTGACAGGACACAGCGTATTCAGTTCAGTTTGGATATGCAACGACAGGCTCTGCATCGACTTCAACGAGACGAAGAAAGCGACTTCAGTTCTGATTGTTTTCGTGCACTTTACGCTTGGCACACAAGAGGTGCCATCTATTTGATTATCAAAACACCTACGTAAGCATTTACGTCAATTCACGGACGTCGGTCGCAGCATTCCATTTCGTCTCAATTGTAAAAAGCATCATCGTACTCAATGTGATCCTCCATGTGCTTGGCAGCTCCATTCAACGATCTCCATGGCATCTCCTGCGCCTTTGTCAAGACGATCGTCAGCGTATCCTTTTCCGACTCCCACGTCACATCCGTGATCTCCTGAAACAAAGTTTGGATCACAAGACTCTTGGCTCGATCACCGCCAGACGCTTTAAGCAGATCCATCGACAGCGACATATTGGTCCAGTCCTACCAGTCCAAACAACTGCATGAGTACACATAGCAGTACATACGACACCACAACCGATCAGCACCCACGAGTTTCAGCTGCTCTTCCTTCATGTTCATCACAACATCGTCCGTTAGGTAAATGCTGCATCAACCACAACATGAACATACAAGCACACACGGTGTCAGTTACACTACACAAAACAACCACCACAGAGCTATCAACGAATGCATGCCACATGACTTACCGGATCGTTTTCTTGCTATCACTCCAGCCGTAAGACGATACCGTCGTCCTGTCGTCGTTCGCTTTCAAGTGTTCGTGTGCGTAAAAGTAGCTGTTCTCTCCTCTCTTGATCCGCTTCTCATCTGGTCCGGACATCACATCCTCTCTCTCCTGCTTCTCCTCCTCTTCATCATCATCTTCCTCCATCTCTTCCTCTCCATTTAACGCCTTGTCAACAGTCTCTTTCTTGAGCGTCGCGTTGACTCGCGCAGAGAACCGCCAGAGCATCACCGTCATCACGACCACCGCAACGCTCAATGCCAGCTGCTCCAGGAACCCCTTATTCAGCTTCACCTGTCCCCATGGCGTCACGAGACTCACGTAGCCGCCCAGCACGAAGAAGGTCTCGCTCATATCGCGAGTTGGCGAACTGTGACGTGGCGACGGACAGGCTTGATTGGATCAAAAACAGCAGCCTTTTCAGCGAATCATACACGATCATTCGCGAGCCTGTTCTCTTAAATCCGATTACACCCCCGAGCGCTCTCGGACCAGACACTACTGAACGCGCTGTCACCTTTGACGACTCTGCATCGCGATGAAGCCATTGTTTGGGAAGATCGTGTCGAACAAGATGCAAAAGTCCGTGCTCGTGGAGGTCGCGCGTATTGTGAAGGACCCCAAGTACGGCAAGTACTACAAGAAGACCAAGAAGTTTATGGCCCACGACGAGGAAGACGCGTGCAACATTGGCGACTTTGTGCGGCTGTCCCCTACGCGTCCGCTGTCGAAACGCAAGCGCTGGAACGTCGAGGAGATCACGCGCAAGGCCGGAGTGTAGATGTGGATTCCGTCGGGAAGAGGCGCTGGATTGGCTATGGAGGTGTCTGGCACTTTTGCTGCTGTTGGTAGCTTTGGATAGACCCAGGATGCCAGGAGCTGGCTGCTTGTGGAGCTGAGCGGGGGTACGATGGACGAAGCAGTGCACCTAGTAGCAAGAGAGAGAAAGTGCGTGGGCCGCTGTGAAAGTAAGTTAGAGCTGATCTTTTGTGGTGGTGCACTTGGTTCTGCTGTTTCTGACGCAGGTACTGCTAGTCGGACACCATCTTCTGCAGCATAAGTTATGACACTTGTCAACCAGTACTGATGTCAGCAGTAGCAGCAACGGATGCAATCAAGCACATACCGAACGTTGAGTTGTGGCAGCAGGCTACAGTTCGTCTTCGTCATCCGACAGATCCGCGAACGGGTCAAGCGCTGGAAAGTCGCCTACTGCCACGTTGTACGGCCGCACAAAGCCGCCGTACTTCTGCTCGCACTCGAAGTACGCAGTGCCTTTGACAGAGCCGTTGCCTTTGCCAACCGGTTCATCGAAGTGCACCCCGACCCAAAATCCAGGCGCGATCTCTGGTACTTGGCCTAGATATTGCACTCGTCCACGACGTCCACCAGGCTGCACCTCGCACCGGTCGTTAACCTTCATGTGTGCAACACTGTCAGCTCCTGGCAGCGCTGCCAAGTCCACTGGCGGCTGAGCAACCTTCATCATGGTCTTGGGCTTCCATTCAGGATCCTTGGCGAGCTGCTCTCGCTTGTACGCTCGCACAGACTTCTCGCCTACTCCAGCAGACAGCGTGACCACCACAGCGTCAAGAAACGGCATCCGTTAAGCCCACAAAGCATCCATCACAAGCCACGACATAGCTGCAGTCGTACGTTTGTCATAGTCTTCCTCCGACATCTCGTACTTCTGGACGAGCGAGACGTCCTCGAGACCGCCTCCTCTCGAGAGCGAGAACGGATCGTTGTCCACGACATGCAGCCGCATACCGCTCTCCACACTGTAGAAGCCCAGCATCCTCCGATCATCATCCAGACGCGTGTATACTGATCCGTCGCTACGCATGACGAGGAGCTCCATAGCATCGGGTTTGGTACCCGTATGTTGGTACACTTTGTGGCGCAGCTCGCCGATTGTGCCATGCAGATCCAGTCGGATGTCCACCATCTGGAGCTTGAGGTTGCTGTGGGTGATGAGCAAGCACACGATGCCATTGGGAACGTTGTCGTACTGCCGGCTGTCCATGCCCGTCACGTAGGTGCGAAGAGCTCGCATGTCTTGCGCCATGATGGCTTCACTTCAATTGTGTGCACTACGTAATTAAAAGCTCTCCTAAGTACGGATGTAGCCCTTTTGATCCAATGAAGCCATTTTGACCTAGTGAAGCCATTTGTCAAAATGTCGAGGTCGTGGTGCTCGGTGCCCATGATCACGACGCTCAAGGTGGTGGACGTGGTGCTCATTGCAGTCGTCATTGGCGCGATCGACGTGGCGGTGAAAGTGTGGAAAGGAAGGCGCTTGCAGTTGTCGTCGACCGAGACGGAGCGACTGGCCGAGTACAACGCGCAGGTGCGACGCGTGAAACGTCTCGACTCGGTCGAGACGTTCGTGGAACAAGCGAAAGCGACGCGTCGAATGAACGCGCTCAAGAAGGAGCTGCAAGCGCTTGCAGGTGATGATTGTCTTGATACGGGATATATAAATTGAGACGATGGGGCTGTTGTGGTGAGTGTATTTGTTGCAAGCGACTGACGAGGGGTGGTCGATTGACAGAGAAGCGCCTGGCTGAGCACGCGCCGTCGGAGCTGCAGAAGCTCTTTGACCGTGTTCGAACGGTGCGTTCTCATGTCAACGCCTCTTGTGTGGTAGCAAGACTGATTGAAGAGTGGGGTGCTGTGCGTTCGTTAGCCTGTCCTGTTGGGGCTGATCATGGTGTACTACTGGAACGAGCCACTTGTGGTACTGCCGCAACGTTTCATGCTTCCGGTCGAGCGACTCCTGTCGTTCCCAGGTTTCCCGCTTGGCGCTGTCTCTGCTGTAGGCTGGGCTGGGATTTGTCGTCGCGTCAGTGCAAAGATCTTGGGCTGAACAATCTTGCAATGACTTGATTACAGGCGTCCGTGTGCTGAACGAATTGCGTCAACTGCTGCATCTATCTACATACTGCCTGCGGATGAGATAATACGCTGAAATGCAACTAAAAACCGCGACAGCTTCGTTACGCAGAGAACTCCTCCATAGTGTCGAAAGACGTCACAAGCATGACTGCCATCACGTTCAATTTTGCTCAGTTACTCCTGGATCCGATACGCCGTACGCGACAGATCGCAAGCACAACGGAATGGAAGCGACCGTATCTAGTAGTCCTCTTCAGCGCCAAACATGTCCATGCCTCCTCCCATATCAACCTCTTCCTCCTCTTCGACGGGCTTCTCCTCCTTCTTGGCAGGAGCGGCTCCACCGGAAGCAGCGCCAGCAGCAGGGGCAGCGCTCACCGAGACAGTGGCAAGCTTGGCCTTGCCAGCCTTGACCACCTCTTCCACGTTCTTGCCCTCGAGTTCCTTCACCAGCTTCTCGGCCTGCTCCTTGTCGAACTCACCTCCGAAAGACTTGACGACCTTTTCGAGATCCGACACAGAGGGCGTAGCGTTACCACCCAGGACACACAACAGCAAAGCAGCAACGTGACGCATCTGTTCAGCAACCATAGCAGTCAGTATATCTATCAGGTGCTGCACTTCATACGATGAGTCGGGCATTACAAGTACTGTAAACGCACCTTGTTTAAGGTGAAGAGAAGGTTTGCTGGCAAATACCCGACGACGTCTTGAACGCTACAATGCTTTTGACCCGGTGGACGCGCATGGTTCGCGATAGCCAATCGCTCCACGGACCATACAAATGCAAGACAATTACGTCTCCACCAATCACAGCAGCACCAATCCTGTCTACCTCGGTAGCGTTTTGGAAAGGATCAAGTACCGATATTACCGTGCAACCTTCGCACGACATGGCAACTCGCTGGTCATAATTTCGACGCCCAAGGCTATGATGTATCATATCTTGACGTGTCCTTGAAGTTGACTGCAACTCGACTGTGTTGTAAAAGAAGCGACTCGGCATGCAAACGGCAACCACAAGAACGTACGTGCAGACAATTAGTAATGCACGACGTAGCGATTAGTAATGCGCGACATAGCGATTACTAATACGCGACTACACGATTAGTAATGCGCGACATAGCGATTACTGACACGCGACTGCACGATTAGTAATGCGCGATACAGCGATTACGATTGTGTTGTTGAAAGAATCCAGTAGGCTTAGACTAGCAAAAGAGATTGCGAACTAAGGACCTAAATATATTCGCTTTGCATTTTGCTTTCTACAACCCAAGTGCCTTTTCAACAGGTTATGAGCCCAAGCTCAGCTGACTCTGCCCCCGACGCCGACTTTGCCTTCAACATGGACGCTGCCACCGCCACCAACGCTCGCATCAACAAGTTTGATGGTACGAACTTCCACACTTGGAAGTTCAAAATGCAGATGGTGCTGGAGGAGCGGGACCTTTGGGAAGTGACAAGCGGGGAGATCAAGCTGGAACACCTTGCCACTACGCTGGAGCAGTCAACGTTCAAGCGCAAGTCACGGAAGGCGCTCGCGATAATCTGTCTTGCGATGGAGGACTCGCAGCTGCCCCTGGTTCGGTCGGCAAGTGGAGCGTACGATGCATGGTCGCGGCTGGAAGGCCACTTTGAGAAGAAGAGCTTAGCCAACAAGCTCTTTCTTCGTCGCCGTTTCTTCACGGCCAAGATGGAGGAAGGCGATGATGTGCTTTCGCACATTAACAAGATTAAGACGCTGGCGGAACAACTCGACGCGGTGGGTGCTCCGGTCAGCGAAGACGACCTGGTGATCACGCTTCTTGGAAGCTTAAGTGAGTCGTTTGCATTTCTCATTACTGCTTTGGAGTCAAGGGCCGACTCGCTGTCGTGGGAACTGGTGACATCCAGGCTGCTACATGAAGACATGAAGCGCAAGGAGCAAGGCAGTGACGGGGTCGCTGCAGGTCAAGCGTTCATGACAGGTGAAAAGAAGCGTAGTGGACGGCCACTCAAGAAGACTGGCGCGTGCAACTACTGCGGCAAGATGGGTCATTGGATCGCGGAATGTACCTCGCGGATCCATGACAACGCGGACCGGCAGCGTCCGCAGCGTGCGAATGTGGCGCACAACCAAGATGAAAACTTGAACGATTACCTGTTTGCAGCTGGATTGGAGAGCAACGACGACGACAGCGTCGAGAATCCAGCATGGCTCATAGACTCTGGTGCGACGCAGCACATGTCATTCTCAAAGCGGTTTATGACAAACTACAAGATCATCGATCCAGTAAACGTTCATCTCGCAGACGACGGGGTAGTGCAGGCGATTGGGACCGGCAACGTAGTGATGATGATGAAGACACCAAGTGGTGCCAAGAAGGGTGTGCTTACGAATGTGTGGCACATTCCAAAGCTTTCACGCAATCTGTTCTCAGTCGGCCGATTCACCAAGGATGTTGCTACAGTGACGTCTGATACGAGCGCCTGTTATGCAAATTTCAAGAACCAGAAGTGGAAGATCGGCGAGCGTGACGGCAAAGGTCTCTTTAAACTATGCATGACACCTGTGCAAGTCGAGAGCGCGAGCATCACAAGTGAATCCAACAAGCCTCAGATGAGCAAGTCATACTTGTGGCATCTGCGTCTTGGTCACATTGGCCATCGTGGACTCGACGCGATCGTGAAGCAGAATCTCGGTGTCGGCATCGACATTACATCTGTGGGCAAGTGGGAGCTTTGCAACGGATGCGCGCTCGGAAAGCAGACGCGAGTGAGTTTTCAGTCAACTACACGTAAACCAGCCAAGGACCTGCTCGACGTCGTGCACTCCGATGTATGTGGACCAACGCAGACTTCGACATTTTCCAACAAGCGCTATTTTGTGACGTTCATCGACGACAAGTCACGTTTTTGTACTGTGTACCTCATTCACAGCAAGTCTGAAGTGTTAGACAAATTCATGCAGTTCACCAAGTTTGCCGAGACTCAGACCGGTCGTCGCATCAAGATGCTCCGCAGCGACAACGGTGGAGAATATGTGTCCAACAAGTTCGCCGCGTTCTGTCGCAACAAAGGCATCATACAGCAATTTACGCCGCCGTACACCCCACAACTTAACGGAGTGGCGGAGCGAATGAACAGGACTCTAGTCGAGAGTGCTAGATGCATGATTGAGCATGCGGGACTAAGCAAGCGCTACTGGGGCGAAGCAGTGTCAACGGCAGCGTTCCTACGCAATCGATGTCCAACGCAAGCAATTGGCCATGACAAGTCCCCGCACGAGGTATGGACGAAGACGAAGCCATTGCTGAAAAACCTGATAGTCTTTGGATGTCACGCATATGTGCATGTGCCGAAAGAGAAGAGGTCGAAGCTTGATGCGCGATCGACGTTGTGCCGCTTCTTGGGCTACTCAGACCACGAAAAGGCGTACCGGTTTGAAGAGATATCAAGCAGTCGCATTCTAGTGAGTCGCGACGCCCAATTCATGGAAGACATGTTCGACAGCGGGAATTACATGCAACAAAGTGGCATCGACCCTATCGAGTATCATAACACTGATAAAGGCTTCAACGACCGTGACAACGGGGTTGCCAATGAAGACATGGATGCGCCTATGCCCGAATCAACATCGATCCATGAGCGGCCACAATGGCAACAAATGCGGCGTTCAAGTCATCAACCGCAGTATATGCAGCCGCAGACAGACGAGTTTCTACCGGGGTCGAAAAGACATGTACGCACACAGTCACTAGAAGCTTTGTCAGAGTTACCAGTGGGAAAACGCTATGGACGCGGGGCTAGTACAAGTGGTGTGCACACATCGTCAGTGCAAGGAACTGCGTCACCACTCGAAGCCATGTCGGCGCTTTTCGCATCTATTGATGAAGAAAAAGAAGAAGAACATGAAGAAGACTGTGCTAACGTCGTGGATTCAGTGGGAGAAGTGCCGATGACATTCTCATCGGCTATGGAATCCAGCGACGCAAGAAAGTGGCGTGAAGCGTGCGAATCAGAGTTTCAGTCATTGTGCAAGAACAACACGTGGGAACTCGTGCCGTTACCAAGTGATCGCAAGGCGATCAGCAGCAAGTGGGTGTTCAAGGTGAAGGAGACTGTTGATGGACTCATCGAGCGATACAAAGCGCGCCTCGTGGCAAAAGGATTTTTGCAAAAGTAAGATGTGGACTTCGAGGAGACGTTCGCACCAGTGGCCAAGTTCGCGTCGATCCGGATCATTGTGAGCCTCGCCGCGCAGCACAACCTCGTACTTCACCAGATGGACGTCAAAACGGCGTTTCTTAACGGTATGCTTGAAGAAGAGATCTACATGAAGCAGCCTGACGGATTTGTTGATGCCAATCATCCTCACCATGTGTGCAAGCTCAAGCGTGCGTTGTACGGACTCAAGCAATCCCCTCGTATGTGGAACCAGACTATTGATGAGTTCATGCGCAATATTGGCTTCACCAAGTGCGAGATGGATCACTGTGTCTACGCCAAGCGTGACGACAAGGTCATGATGTTTGTTGTCATATACGTCGACGACCTCATCCTTGCGTGCAACAACATGGACATCCTCGCAGCCACCAAACGTGCATTAAGCGAGCGATTCGAGATGTCCGATCTCGGTGAGCTTAAGTATTGCCTCAGAATAGAAGTCGAGCGCGATAACAAGTCAGGTGATGTATCGATGAAACAGACTAAGTTCTTGCGATCGATTCTGACCAAGTTCGGTATGCAAGACTCTAAGCCTGTAAAGACGCCGCAAGATCCCGGACTGAAGTTGACTAAGCGCATGTGCAAAGATGGATGCAAGCACAACTACACCATGCAAGGAGTGCCATACCGAAGTGCCGTCGGAGCCTTGATGTACCTCATGGTAGGCACGCGTCCAGACCTCGCAGCTTCAGTGGGAGTGCTCAGCCAGTTTGCTGCTGACCCGTGTCCGACACACTGGCAAGCACTCAAGCGCGTGCTACGGTACCTGCAAGCGACTCCTACACTTGGTATTCGTTTTATTGGCGCTGGCAATGGTAAATTGCTTGGCTATTCCGATGCCGACTGGGCTGGAGATATTGATACTAGACGAAGTACCAGCGACTACGTATTTGTGCTAAACAACGGCTGCATCAGCTGGCGTAGCAAGAAACAGCGCAGCGTGGCACTCTCGTCTACCGAAACAGAGTACATGGCACTGTCGGAGGCGACCCAAGAAGCGACGTGGCTCAAGACGTTCATGCGTGAGCTCGGCGAAGAAGCAGGCGATGACACTCTAACTATCTATGAAGACAATCAAGGTGCTATTGCGTTGGCCAAGAACCCAGAGTTCCACAAACGCACCAAGCACATCGACATTCGCTACCACTTCGTGCGAGAAAAGGTCGAAAAGAATCAAGTCGTGCTACAGTACTGTCCGACGCAAGATATGCTCGCTGACATCATGACCAAGGCAATCGCAGCGCCACAGTTTACCATCCTCCGTACTAAACTCGGCATCACTGTCGGTGTCGATACCGAGTCGAGTGGGAGTGTTGTAAAAGAAGCGACTCGGCATGCAAACGGCAACCACAAGAACGTACGTGCAGACAATTAGTAATGCACGACGTAGCGATTAGTAATGCACGACGTAGCGATTAGTAATGCGCGACATAGCGATTACTAATACGCGACTACACGATTAGTAATGCGCGACATAGCGATTACTGACACGCGACTGCACGATTAGTAATGCGCGATACAGCGATTACGATTGTGTTGTTGAAAGAATCCAGTAGGCTTAGACTAGCAATAGAGATTGCGAACTAAGGACCTAAATATATTCACTTTGCATTTTGCTTTCTACAACCCAAGTGCCTTTTCAACAGACTGGACCACAGCAGTACCACCGAAAGTGAGGAAAAACACTAGAGGCCAGAGGTGTTTATGAGAAAAGCTAGAGCATGCAACACCTCACTGTGGTGGTAGTCATACAGTTAAAATGGCGCTGGTACCTGGCCTTGAGCGAAAAGGAGCCGATGATACATCACGGGATCAGCTGTACCGATTGAGAACGATCCATCGCTTTTCACCAACTCGACATTCTTGCTTCGTGGCTTCCATGTCGCAGTCTTTTGCATGTGGAGAATGGTAATGAGTCAACGGCTTTCCGTGGCCGACAAGTCAACGACTCGTCGCAGTGTAAATGACGTCAGACATCGTGGCTTGGTCTTAGCAAGGATTTTCAATGATGTAAGCTCGGTGACGACCGTTGTCTTCCAACTGATCAAGTTGTCATATCACTCTGTAGAAACTTGGCGCACTTTCCGGAGAAGACGCGGCACTCGAAGCCGACGCACAGACAATCAAAACAACGTCAAAATCGTCCCTGGACAGCGAGAAAGAAGGAGAAGGTGCTACGTCTCCACGTGTCTCAAAATGCATCAGACGAAGCCCGAGTCTTCTCCTGCGGCTTGTTCGCAACACCGTCACATCGACACAAGCGAGTGGCCTGGGTATCCAGTCCCCACTATCATCAGCGCTATCTGTCGTAAATACCTCCACGGAAACATTGGCGATGGTGTACTTCGACTGATCGATTCCTGTCTGGTTACACCGTTCGATTCACTCACCTTACTGAAGGCGTACTATCGCTCGGGTGGCAGTCTGCGTTTGCTTCAATACTTGGCCGTCCGAGAGTTAAAAGTCGAGAATCCGTCTCGCCATGACTGGGAAGTCAATGCTGTAACGGGTCAGATGGCAGCACGTGGCGATCTGCATAGTCTGAAATGGATCATCAAGAACTACGTACAAGGCGAGTTCAAGTTGAAACTCGTTGTCTATCATGCCTCTGCTAATGGACAAATGAGCATTATACAGTGGTTCTGGGAGAACCACCGCGGCATGGGATGTTGGGGTGACAGCGAGTTGTGCCAAGCGATCAGGAGTCGGCATGTAATGCTGATAGAGTGGCTCAAAAGTCGCGTAGCAGTTCGGTTTGAGCATACCGGGTACATGGCCCATGAAGCAGCAGCGTTTGGTAGCTTGGAGATTATTGAGTGGCTGCACGAGCGCTTTGACATTGTTCTTGTCGATGCATTGAAGACAGCGGCAGTCCACAACGAGTGGACTGTTGTACAATGGATTATAGACCATGGGAACCGTGCTGATCTGGATGCTGCACTGCGTTTCAATTGTCTCTATACAAGTGCAGCAAGGTTCGGCAACTTGGACATGCTTCAGCTTCTCTTTGACCGTAGCCTTCCGCAAGACCCTGTATTCGTCCTTGAAAGTGCCATTCTAGGAGGTCACTTGCACATTGTCAAGTGGCTGCACGAAGAGAAGGGGATCACAAACGCAGTTGCTGGATACATTGACGCTGCCCGAAAGGGTCAGCTGGACATGTTAAGGTACTTGTTCGAGAAAGGAGTCATCGCCACCCCGTACCTGTTTCCGATCAATGCTGCAGCTGAAGCCGGTCGGCTTGAAGTTGTGCAGTGGCTCCACTCGCACACCACGACTAAGTGCACGGAACGCGCTATGGACGCAGCTGCGGGTCAGGGACACCTGCATATCGTCCAGTGGCTCCACGAAAACCGCACAGAAGGATGTACCCGCCGTGCAATGGACCGTGCTGCTTCTAACGGCCACCTCGATGTTGTCAAGTGGCTCTACGAAAACCGGACAGAAGGATGTAGCCGCAGGACAATCGATGATGCCGGATGGTTTGGATATTCGGGCGCACTTGCGTGGCTTTTCGAGAACTGACGACGAGAATTTCTCGAAGGAACTGTTGACGAGTGCCGGACAGTGTCGCTTAATGTGGCCGTCCACAAGTTCGGCAATAGGCTGCGTAGGAACGGGATATGTGGTACGCGCTTGAGCAATTATGAATGCAGCTGCAATGGTGATTTTTACACGTAGACATGACTTCATGACAACTGCTCCGAGTCGAGTTCACAACATTCTCACGCAACAGAGGTCAATAACCGACCGTTAGAGGCCAATCCGTACAAGCAGAACGGTTTTACCGGCATGGCATGAAGACCACACGCAGCACTGGTCAATTTCGTGCAAAGACAATCGAGTCCTATGCACTCTCCTTGTGTCACCAACGACGTCCCGTTCTCGTTCACTGCGCGCATAAATCAGTAGCCATTCCAGCCGCTCCAACACACAGAAAGGACAAGTGTGACTGCCGTCTTCCTTCATCACTCGACTTGCCGTCGGTGGAAATGGGGAGGCCAACCCTCGTCCTACCCTGTGTCACCCTACGGGGAAGTCCGCACAAGCGCCTTGTCAACATGCGGTTTCCCTGCCGCCGAAGAAGCAGCAGCAGCTGCAGAACTGCCATTTATCTTGGAGATGGCAAGGACGCTCGACCAGTTGTCAAGCACCCGCAGCGACACTATCAAAAGAGGCAGCAAGACGTTTTTTGATCCAGCAGTTAGTGGTACAAAACGTATCGTCCAGTGCACTTGAGCGAGTCCAAGACGGGACTGTTCGCGCCCGCTACACACACACACACAAACAAACGCACGCTCGTTCTGGTGGTTCATCTGCAGCATCTTCCCGTTGATCTCGTCCAAGTACTGCGCGAGTTCAGCCGACGAGTCGCGCAGCGCTTCGAGCGCCGCCACTTCTTCGTGCTTGCTGGCTGTCATAGTTAATACTGTCGGGCGATTCGCACTTAGTGGGAACAGCGCGTGCACATCGCACCAACGACGGGCAGGCTGTTCTTGTCGCTCATTGGCGAATAATCCGCTCGCTCGTACCATCGGTAACGCCCACTTGTGTCCGACCTTCCCCGTGCATGCGGCTCGGGTCGTGCGTCGACACTAGGAAGCAGAAGCGCAAGCTCAGCACGCTGGACGACGGGATCATGAGCAACATGTGGGCAGAAGCACAAGGCGCGTCGCTGCCTACTGGTGGCGTATCTTTCGTCCCGCCTCGCTCGCCGTCGCCGTCGCTCTTGGGCGCGATGCGTCATCACGGACGCGTGCTTGGACTGCTCGTTGCTCTCGTGCTCGTTGCGTTCGTGTCGCTTTCTAGCACGTTTATAGGTGGCAACCGGAGCAGCCGTAGCGTGGACCAGCGCGACGCAGAGCGGACGCCCGAGAACTGGGGCACGAGCGAGCAGGAGTGGCCGCTGCCGGCGGTGGGGGACCGTACCCGACACAATATAAGGCACACCCCACCGACCCTAGCGGTACCGATCAAGCCCGATTCATTTGGGGTTATTCTCGTGGCTGACTTGGATCAGCAGTCGAACGACAAGAGCAGTAACAAACCTCAGTTTAGGTCGTACATCATGCACGCGACGCTGAAGGTGACGCCCAGTAGCTCGAGTTCGTACGAGAAACGGGACACATTTTCGGTTACGTTTGGCGACGAGACGAAGTTTACTACGAGCATGAACGAAGCTGGACGGGGCTTTGAATTGAGTGAACTGGCCTGGTTTAATGGCAAATTACTCGCGTTTGACGACCGCACGGGCATCGTCTTTCGACTCCAGCATTTTGAAGGAGTGAGCAAGACAAAACCTTTGCAAGCCGTTCCAGAGCACATTGTGATGGAAGGAGATGGTGCTGTCGGTAAGGGACAGAAGCACGAGTGGGCCACGGTCAAGGATGGCGAGCTGTACATGGGTAGCATCGGCAAGGAGTTTACGGACAATAATGGCAACGTTGTTGGTGACAGCAATCTGTGGGTCGCTATTATGGACCACAATGGTGACGTGCGTCATGAAGACTGGACAGCAAACTTTGCGGCTGTGCGCTCGGTTCTGGGCTGTGACTGGCCAGGGTATGTGGTACACGAAGCGATCGAGTGGAGTCCTGTTCGCCGTCAGTGGTTCATTTTGCCTCGACGTGTGAGCACACAGATGTACAATAGTAAAGAAGACGAGAAACGTGGCTCTAACAAGGTTGTTATTGCAAGCGAAGATTTTAGCAGCGTCGAGGTGCGCGAAGTCGGCCGCGTGACACCACTGCGTGGCTTCTCTTCTTTTAAGTTTATTCCGCGATCCGACGACTCGGTAATTGTGGCTATCAAGAGTGTCGAGGTGGAGGATGAGCAGATACAGACCTCTTTTATCACGGTGTTTGATTTGGATGGAAACGTGCTTATGGATGAGACGGAGATCCCGGGTGCCAAGAAGTATGAGGGTGTCGCATTCGCACACGACTGGTCGTAGACGATGGTCGACCACGAAATGTGGATTGCTTCCCACGGTGGTTGGGACCTGCATCTTCGCACCTCCAGCATAGTACAGTGATCAGTGCAAGCAATTTACCCATAGGTACAGACTTTTCATGAAGCACTGAGCAGCTATCAGCAGTGAACAGCGGGTGAACAGGCAACCTATATTCGTGCTCGCTTCTCCATTGAATGAACAGTCACGAACAAAGCTGTTGCGATGGACAGCGTTTGCACCTGTCAGACCCCACTTTTAAAGGATCACAAGAAAACGTGTTTGTTGCAATTGAGTCTCTACGAGTGTGCTGTCAAGTGCAGTCCGCGTGACTTTTTACGCTGATTGTCTGCACTAACAGAACAAAGCGATATTCTGCGCTACGATAACAAAGTAGTTTGTCGATGTCACCGCAGTGTCAAGCATCCCGGTCAGTCAGTACCAATGAGCTTGCCAGGTGCCGTTGCCTTCGCAAGGTTCGCCTTCGAATGAACTCCTCCTGGTGTTCTCTTACGGTGTTGCCGTACTTGGATGTAGAGCTCTACGGTACGAATAGTCTACATGTATGATGGTTTGTCACAAATTCAGCTGCACAGATGCACCATTACTCATCAGCACAGGTGACTCACAAGGAGTGGTTGCCGTTGTTACGATTCCAATGGCGTGAGCATCTTCTTGACGGCACGATGTGAGCCAGTGCAAGTAGAAAATGCTCACAAGACTGACTGCACGAGGTTGTCTTGCTTTCGTTTTTCTGCTATATTGTTTTATGCTGCACCATAACAACTGGGCTACATGCAACTGCCACGCGTGACTCCTGCGGTGAGGCAACACATTGCGCTTCCTACTTCGTACGATCAACCAAGCGAATCTCCACCGTAACCTTCGCTGTTACCAGCAAGGAAGTCACGCTTGCCTGCACCGATTTTCCGCACCTGCGAATCCACCTTTGGACAGTCTGTGATGCGGTGACCCAGACCACCGCAGAACGCACAGCCCTTGGTGCCAGTGGCATTTGAAAGTCCATCGCCACTGCGCTCCAACTTCTCGTACGGATCCTCCAATGCCATGAGTACTGGTGGCACCGTTTGCTTCGCCTCGACAAGTAGATGCTTTAGATCCAGAAGCGCACTCTCTGGCACACTTTTGTTAATGAAGGTCGTAGCGACTCCAGTCTTACCGCAACGACCAGTACGGCCAATTCGATGCACGTAGTTTTCGATTTCGGCCGGCATGTCGAAGTTGATGACATGCTTAATATCGGGAAAGTCAAGTCCCTTAGCGGCCACATCCGTGGCAACCAACACGTCCTTTTTTCCACTCTTGAACAGATCAATGGCTTCATTTCGCTCCTCCTGGTCCTTGCCACCGTGGATCGAGGCTGCCTCGACGCCCTTCAAGATCAGGTATTCGTAGATATCGTCAACATCGCCTTTGCGTTCACAGAAAATAACAACAGGAGGGCCGGTCTTTTGCAAACACTCCAGCAAGTACACGATCTTGGCGTCCTGCTTCACGTACTCAACTTCCTGGATCACATCCAAGTTCGCAGCACCGGCACGACCAACATTGACTAAAACAGGCTTCACGAGCACATCCTTGGCAAAATCCTGGAACTTTTGCGGCATCGTAGCAGAAAAGAGCAACATCTGTCTCTGACTAGTAAAGTGGTTGAAAGTCGTAGCGACTTCCTCATCGAAACCCAAGTCCAACATGCGATCACCTTCGTCCAAGCAAATGTATTTGCACAAGCGCAGATTCATCTCACCTAGCTTCAAAAAATGGTTCAATCGACCCGGCGTAGCCACCACAATGTGCACGCCGCGACTGGCGATCAAGTCCGACTGCTGCCGCTTATCTTCTCCGCCAATGCAGAGCAGACTACGAAGCTCGGGGTACCCTGCCTTGAACAAGTGGGTTGTAAAGTGTTTCACCACATCAAACGTCTGTCTCATGAGCTCGCGCGACGGACCTACAATCAGTCCAAACGGACCTTCACGACCAACAATCGACATTTTTGTTTCCTCTTCGAGCGCCAGCATCACCAGCGGCAGTGTGAACGTCACGGTCTTTCCAGATCCGGTAAATGCAATGCCAATCATGTCGCGTCCTGCAAGAATGCACGGCATGGCTTGCACCTGAATCGGTGTCGGTCGCAAGATCTTTTTGGCCTTCAGCGCGTCAAGAATTGCGCGCGGGAACCGCATATACTCAAATGACTTGATAGGTGGCGGCACATCTTCGCCTTGAACCATAATGTGCCACTTCTTGCGAACCGCGTCACACTCGTCTGGAGTCATGTCCCGCACACAACGTGGCGGTCGCCACGTCGTCTGCATCGTCTCGCTGTAATGGATCCCCTCGGCTCGTTCATGAGCCGACACAAGCGCCACTTTCTGCACGTAACTCGCTTCCTTGAGCATATGAATCTCCTCGGCGTCCTGCTGGACCTTTTGCTGGTTCACGCCCTGCTCCTCCATGCGCTTACGCATCTCATACGCCTGATCCAAGAGACTCACACTCGATCGCTGCTTCTGCTGCTCCTCTTCTACAGTTGCAGTGATAGAGGACATATCGGGCAGCTTTGACTCGATCAAGGTCGAGGTTACTAGCGTCGAGACGATTGCGGTCTTTTGTTTCTTGGGCTGCAGCTCGTCCGAGTCGCTTCCGCTGTCCGTTTCGCTCCGTTCTTTCTGCAGACGTTGCCGGAGGACCGTACGGCGTTGTTGCAGTTGCTCCTGCTCGCGCTGGCGCCGTACCTTGAGCGGCACGTACAGCCGCGCGTCCGTTTCGACCGTCATTGCGCGACGCCGGGGCGTGCGTGAAAATAACAATAGAAAGTGAAAAATGACGATAGCGACAAAGACACATGTGCCGATCGTCGATTGCATTGGTCAAAAACACGTACCTCGCAATGCTCAGGAAAAGAACGAGATAACTATAGAGAGTATTCTAATGACGATTGAACGTACTAGACTGTGGATGAAGACTCTTGAAGCCGCGATTATTCCTATCCTGACTGTGATTATTCCTATCCTGACTGTGATTATATCTATAGTGACTGTGATTATTCCTCTTCTACTGTTTATTTGTTTTGTTTTGTTCCGACCATGCGCCGCGCTCGAGCGTGGACGCGACCGGCCGAGTTCCTCGTGTACGTCGTGCCTGTGGGCGACGCCATGCCGGCATCTGTCCTGGCCTCGTACACGCGTCTCTTGCAGGCGCATTGCGTGCTCTCTCTGCGCAGTCTCACGCGTCCTGGGGGCTACGCCGCTGAGCTCTCGCCCTTCGACGGCTTTTCATGGACTGGCTCGGGGTCGCTGCGCTTTCGTTTCGTGTCCATTGCTGCAGAACGAGTTGAAATGTGCAATGGAGAAGACGTGCACGCGAGTCACCGCGTCATTGGCGTGCTGGGCATATGCCATTGTCCGTCGCTCGTGCACGGCACGGGACTGCAGGTCGCGTATACGCAATTCCAGGCATCAGTACGACTCTTTCCAGCGCTGCTCGTGCACAAATTGTTTGCTTTTGAGCACAGTTTTGAAGACGTAGGTGCCGTACGAGAGTACGAGCGTCTGGACGATCTCGTGATGTTCCCGATGCACCATGAGCTGCAAGGCACGGGAGAGTCGACTGTGAGTCTTCACTTCCAGGTCGTGATGAACACGTTGGCGGTGCACATTCTCATGTCGCTAGAAAGCACAATTCGATCGGTGACGTCGTCGCTGGCAGTGGCTAATGGCTTGACGTCTGCAGCAGATTTGGAGTTGGCAGATTTAGCAGGTCGAGAGAATCTTGCTAGTGTATTATTGGACGTCAACGTTGAGCCGCAGCAGACACACGATATGCAGTGTTCTCCGCTGGTACTTTCAAGAGATGGAAGAAACGGAGGTGACTCGTTTGATGTGGTTTCGAGTTCCGACACCCGCTTGACAGGTTCATTGTTTTCTTCTTCTTCCGTTCCGTCACCGCTGAGTGCTGCTAAGGTGACGGTGGAGCCAACGCACTGTAATCGGCGGCGAAAGCGACAAGTTGCTCGCAGAGAAAAGCTTGTGGGTGACTACAATGTCCTTGTAAGCTGCATCTCGAGTGCAATGCGCCACTACGTGGCAGCAATCGAGATGCTGCGCGAAGAAGAGCGACGCAGTGGCGGTGCTCCAGGAGACGCTTTGTGGCTGGCCGCCGCGCTGGAGGGATATGTATATTGCTTGTACACTGAGTCACAGAACAAGTTTTCTGCTGAACTTGTGGAGAAAGCATCGGAGGCCGTTGCATTTTACGCAAACGCAGGCACGACAGAGCTTGAAAGTCTGCTTATTGAGAATATGGGGTGGTACTACGCAGGTGTGGCGATGTCAACGTGCGCATCGATGGCAGGAGACGCAAGGATGTTAGAAAGTGTCTGGGTGAAGCGCTTGCTCTGGGACGTGTTGGAAAGAGGGATGATACTGTTTCCAGACTTGCAATCCCAGCGTCAAGTCGAGTTCTTGATACAGGCGAGTCGCATGCTAGAGATGGTAGGTCACCACCGACGTGTTGCGCTCTTTCTCCACGAAGCTGCATCTCTTTTGTTAGCCCGCAACGCAAGCGTACAGCCGCTATCACCCACTTGCTCAGCAAAAGGACAGCAGTGGAACAGAGATTTGAAGGCTGCTCTAATATTGGAACAAATGGCGGCGGAGCAGTTGGGCATCCAAGGTTTGAGTATCCGGAAAGGCGAGTTTCTACCATGGGAAGTCACATCACAGTACCGAAAGAAGGGTAGAGAAACAACGTTTGCGACGGACGGATCGACGGATAGTCCAGATAATTCATGGCTGGTCATTCGCTTCCATGTGCTTCGGCAACTCTTGACCATAGCAAGGATGTTGGGTGACGCCCTTCTTGTCGGAACATATTGTCTCCAGATATTAGAGATGCTCGTGTGGTGTGATTCGGTCGCTCGACAGCCGAAAGTAGGCCACCAGTCATCACCGGCTTCGAGAGAAGCGTCTGGTGTTGATGCAAAATTGGTAGTAGACGACGCCCAGCAACCCGCTGCTTCGCTTCGTAATAGACGTCAACATGTGGAGCGGGTACCAGCCAACCTTCACTCCAAGAGCGGCCTTTTGGCTTCTCCACCTCCAGGTATTGACTGCAGAATCAAGCGCAACGTCTCGAGATCTCCCTCTGTAACCATATCGAATGCAGCGGCGTCACTGTCGTCGACGCTGTCGAACACACCGCGACTTTTGGCAACACCACGACAGCATTTTTCTGCCGCTGTGAATGCACTATCTACGAGAGCCTCTCCGAGTTTCATGCCGTTTTCTCATGCGTATCATCATCACATTGAGGCCATGTCTGACTGTCCGGATGGTGTAGAAGATTGCACGTCCACTGCAACCACTTCGGATCCGATGGAAGTCAAGAGCGTCAGTGAAGACGGAGAGGATCGATCCGGCAGTTCCCTACTACCGTACGCTGCCGATGGCAAGCTAGATGATACGTGTGCACTTGATGCAATGAACGTGCCTATTTCTCCGTGGGATCTACGATCAAAGTCCCATATTGTGAAGATTCAACGAAGATTGCTAAACGTGCTTGAGTCCGATTGCGGCGTGCTGCAAACTAGTGCACAAGTACAGCTGCCCACTTTCCTGCGAGTGGACAGGCTGGAGTTATGTGCCAGCTGTAATGTGCAGGATCCTTTTCTTTCCCGAGCGACGGCGCTTAGAATGTTTGGAGTGCAGTCCACATCCAGCCAGCAAGCGGTGAAGCGAGACTTTTTCTACTCACCGTTTGAGAAGCGAAAGACGCGAGAAACAGGTCAGCGCAAATGCAGTGACGAACAAGACGCTAGTGGTGCCATGCCTGATGTATTTGAAAAAGGCTTTTCGGTCTACGAGCGGATCGAGGTGCAATTGACCCTGTCCAATCCAACGGGTATTCCAGTCAAGCTCCAGGAGGTTAAAGCGTGGGTTACGTTTGTAGAGGAAAATGACGAATCTGCTGAAAAGAACAGCAGCACAAAGGTGGCTTCAAATGACGGTGGCGTTGAGTGCTACGCTTGTTCTTTCACGTTGGAACCGTATGAAAAGCACAAAGCTGTGATGCTGGAAATTCAGCCATTTAGAGCGGGCACCTTCCACGTTCGTGGGTGCTTCATGAAGGCACATAATATCACGACATCATTTGAACTAGAAACTCCCGTCCGTGTACGAGTAGTGGATGAGCTACCGATGGTATCACTATCTCTTCGTGAACAAAGCACGATGACGCTGGCGAATGGTGAAATGAAGGCCAAGTCGAGAGAACCTGCTACGAGCACGATGCGACCTGCAATGTTTTCGTCCGAGACGAGGCAGTTCGTGCTTTGTATACGCAGTACTGGAAATCGTCAGATTACAAACTGCAGACTTGCAGTTACTGTTCAGCATCGACATGCAGCCACAACAACGCATGTGCTATTCAATAACCTGCCAACAGAACAGGGTTCCGTACAGCACGTCCCGGGTGGAATCACGAATGGAACGATAGCCGATGGGCTCGACGATGGAGAGATGAAGACGGAAGTTATATCGTTGAGGTGTGGCAAGGTGGCATCGTCTCCACTTCCGCTTGTAGGCGGCGATTCTGTAACGGTCCCGTTTCAGGTGTCACTGCGACACAGGCATACTTACGATGAACAAGTGGACGATGGTATCCGGATCGAATGGAGCTTCGTTTATGGTAATGAGACACAACACACCGGTGCATACGATGGTGAAAATACCGCAGAGGATGTTTTTTATCGAGAAAGCAAACTCGCATTCGAGATCGTGCGTCTTCCGTCTATGATGCTTCACTCTGTGACGACGCGTTCCTGCTGTGTGGAACAGCTACAGACCAGCTGCAGATCATGTGGAGACAGCGCCGACGCAGGTGCTGTCGTGAGATGTTTACCCAAGATGGCAACATCGGACCATTTGTATTGCATGATTATCGTGCACGTTGTCAATCCCACAGAAACAACATTTCGATTGCGATTGCGTCGGGCTGTTGACGGCAGCGATGACATCACTTGCGAGGCAGAGATTGGTCGTCAATGCTCTCGTCAGCTCGTGATCGAAGTTCCTCGGCTGCAGTCTTTACCCTTTGGTCAAGGGTCCTCCAACTTGACCGAGGTGTTGAATGAACTGATGGAAATCGAATGGGAGACGTGTTGTGGCATCCGAGGACGACTTCTGTGCGAGGACCACCACATGGGACAGGCTACTGAGCATGGCCAACTCGAGCTTTTCTTACCACCCATTCGGTTCCAGATTCAGCCCCCGGATGAAGGCTTTGCGTTAGCTAGTGCTGGTAGTCAACTGCAAAAGGGAGAAGGAGACGTACCCGAAGGCATCGACGATATTCACCGATTGCGATTTTTCCAGGTGTCGCATTTACGGCATCAGGTGCGGACATTACACGCCGAGCTGTTCAAATATATCCCGATTGCTGTCTCGCTCCAGAGGACAGGCGATATTGGCAACAAAGAGCACGCAACACTTTGTGTGGAGGTGGAGGTGGTGATTACTGATGAAGGAGATGAGGCTGGTTGCGAGATGAGCGACCACGTGATGGTGGTGGGACAACTGAAATCGCTCGTCCGATGGGACAGCAGGATTGATAGACGCCCAAGACTTCGCGAGATCCAATGTATGTTCTTGTCAGATGGTAACTTCCGTGTCGCCGTGTGTGGTCGGGTCATTGGCCTCGGTGAGAAGTATGTTGGTGGCGAGATTTGGTGCCATCAGCCGCTGTACGTATGCGCCCGATCACAAGAGGCTATCATTGCGGAGAGAACTGCGCAAGTATTTGAGTTAGCAACGCGAGTGTCATGAACCGGTGTTGTATTTTGTTTGGCATGAAATAACTAGGACTTGTGTGACCAAGTTTGAGGAGTGCATTGGTTCTTCCGTATGGAGGTCAGCATCAACGCGAGAAGGTTGGAGAAACTTGTCGTTGGTATTCATAATATCCGGTACCGACACAGGCAGGAAGTCTTACTGAGCGGCATATGAGACGCTAATTTGAGCAAGTACATGCAAACTTGTGCTTCTGGGAGACGAGCTCAAGCCGAAGTTACGCAACTCGAAGAAGAGGAGCAGCGAATGTCAATAGAAGCTATACCGTTGACAAAAAGGGTTTCAACTCGTCTCCGCATTGAGTGGTAAGTCCGATGTGTCCTTGGCTCGCAGCAAACGATGATGCCTTTTGGACACCAAGCAATCTTGGGTTGACGACCGAGTAAAAGAAGAATGGCGCATTGGGTGGAGGCATCTGCAAATTGGCCACATAATCCCAAGCTATTGGGTCAGCCTCTGCAATCCAAACGCTAATGTTGTATGCAGCTGGTATGCACAAGTGCTTTTGCTTTGCCTTGTATAAAGGTACAAGCGCTGGATTACGGCTGAGTGCTCGTAACGATTAGTACGTGCAACCTTAAGATGGTCCGATCGATGTCGGTATTAATCTGCGACCGAATTTGAGCGTCGCGTATCTCGAAGATCTCAGGGCCAAGTAAGTTACCGGACGATACATGCTTCTGCTTTCTTCAATTTCACCTAACGTGAAGGTCAAAGGCGTCGATTGAATCGTTCATAGCATCTGGATACTGTCGTTTGCGTTGTCATCTATACCTCAAGAAATTGGCGCAAAGATAGAAGATGAACGGGAGAATAGTATGCACAAAGAGCGCGCGCTGCTACTCGAGGCATTGACTTCAGTCAGGCACTCATATTTCTTGTTGGTATCCGGCATCAGATCGAATGGTCAAGATGTTTCATGGTAATTGAGACGTCGTAGGCTATTTGGCATTCCCGGAGGACTTGGTCGAATCCACGACTTGCTGGAGTCCCATCCCACCGCAAGCTGAACAGACTGTGAAAGCACTTGAGAGCTACTCATCAAGACCAGGATAAGAAGTCCGTGCATATAGTGCTATCTGCACTGGTTGATGTGGTGCAACAAGAAGAATCTCACCTGTCCATGGAATGTATTCCATCTAGTCTGACCGAGCGACAGTGAACAATTTATTGATGGCACAGCGCTTTGATGGACATCAATCGATTGTGGCAATCGGTCCATAATGTCAAGTTCCGCATTCGCGTCGGCGTAAGACCGGGTGTCGACAGCAACTCAACGACTCGATTCAACGTACACTTCGTAAACGTTGTGGTCAAGTGTCCGTTGAGCATTGAGCATCATGCATGTTCCGATCACCGACCGTCGATCGATGCCAGACCTATAATGCCACACGCACGTATCTCGGTGCATGCTTGCTGCTTGGGGTCTTGCATGCAAATCTAGAATCCTCATGGTGAGTGTACAAAGATGACGGCAAACCTGGTTGACCAGATCACTGAAAAAGTAGATTCGACACGGCGCCAATGGTTCGTCTCTACAGACTTTGGTCAACCGTGAGATACAACTGCGCCCTTGGCGTCGTGCACATCTCCACATAGCAACACTTCAGCGAGCGACTTGTACTGCCACAATACGAGTCGACGTAGAAATTTGGTGCAATAAAGCCAACGCGTCCAAGGAGTAGATCTATTCTATATCTCCACGAGTTTATGCTGGATACTGGATAGTAGGCATACCATATCTCGCTAGAAAGCTTGCAGTTGGCCAGATTATTTGACAGGTTGATGGTGCAGGAGCAGAAACTTAGTGAGCTAGAAGCGCTTCACGACGATGGCATGCAGCCAACATCATCCTTGCCAAGCGCGCTCCGCACAAGTCAGTCGTCATCTTCATTCAATTCCAGGCAATAGTTCGTCGATCAAAATCATCAACAGACGCGCAAAGAACTTCTCGCTACAACTTTGGTTGCTCGTTCCTCAACGTCCAAGTCGACTCATCGCTCACGAAATGCCTGTGGCGACACCTCTTTCTTCATCCATTTAAATTGATCCAGCGGCCAAATCTGTCAGCAGCACAAGCCACACAACACACCCACGTAGTCAGCAAGTGAGACCTCTCTCTTTCGATCCACAAGAAACAACACAAATCACTGTCCGTCCTCACCCTCATCACCACACGTCCTTGCACGAGTGCACGCGGCACTGGACCGTAATACCTCGAGTCGTGCGAGTCGCGTTTGTTATCGCCTTCCAGCCAGACGTGACCCTTAGGGATCTACACATCCACACAGAAAACACAAGAAGAACAACATACAAGGCGTCAACCAACCAGCTGCAACAGCATCAACAACAGCATCAAAAGATCAGCAGCACAGCAACCAAAGCTTGTCACCACCTTGTGAAATTCCACCTCGTTCGACATCGAGCGAGGCCGCACACACACCGTGTCTCCTTCCTGAGCAATGATCCGCTTGCACACGGTCTGCCGTGGATTGGACATGGATTTGGCAATCACCACGTCCCCAGGCTCGAACTGCCGGAAGAATCTCGGCGTAACTTTGTCCAGCAGCACGATATCTCCGTCCCGATTGAGCGTTGGCAACATGGACGGGCCCACGCACTTGACGGTGTCGGCCACTTGCAGGAGACAGAAGGCGACGCCGCCAAAGCGAGCGAAGCACGAGAGGACGGGGGCTACCTCCTGGAAAATCGTCATATGTCGGAAGGACGAATGAATGAATGGACAGGAGGAACTCACGATGGACGAGGTGGAAGTCGCCCGAGTGACAAAACACGGTAGGTTGTTGATTGTTGTGATGACGGCGTGTCGATATGAGAAATGTGGTGATAACGATGACCTGAGTGAGGGGTACGATGGCTTGAGGGGTATGGAAAAGCGAGGTTGACTGGTTGTACCCTGGTGAGGTGGAGGTTATGATGAGGGTCATAATGATAGTGGGAGTCTACTTGGGTACGTGTAGTATCTCATTTTCACTTTGTGAAGCGGTTGGTAATCTTTGTGGTTGCGCATGTAACATAATTATCGTGATTACTGGTTGTAAACGCCTATGATGATATGGTGATCTGGATACTGAAGGATTCACGGACGAAGCTCGTGGGATGGCACGCTTTCCATTGACAAAGTCTAGCAGGTGCAACAGCATATCAGCCTCGAATAAAACAGGTACAGGGTCTCCGCTCTCGCCTTTACAAACGATGACTCGTCAATGTCAACAGCCTAATCCTGTTGACGTTTATCTGAGTCGTCGTGGTCAACTCATGTACACTTCATGTCGTGCCAGTGTGCCAACTTGCAGCCACTTGTGATCGATTGAGGGGTCGATCTGTACATGCCAAATCGTTTGCTGAGAACATCGTTTGCTGAGAACAATCGTTTGCTGCAGTCAGTCGAATGGAACCGGGGACACGCTCGACGTTCCTGTTGTACTTGATCAGGCATGTCATCATCTCTCTCCATGCAACAGCCCGCCAGCAATCAGTAAACATCGTCAACTTCGTCTGATTGAATCAAGACATAACCACTTGACAATTGATGCAGCGTCTACACTTTCACCGAGACGTCTTCGATCGACTCGGACCGTCCAGACGTTACGAGCGGCGACAGTGACGACGAGTCGTCTTCGTTTATCACGTAAAAGTCGTTGACCATGTTCAAAAAGCGCCACCGGCCTTGTTTCATGCGTTCAGTCACACGAGGCAGCCGTTTCGCCACCACGTACCGAAGCAGAAGGAAGTAGAGCAGACCAAAGACAATGCCATCCGCGCTGCCGATAACCACTTGGAGTTCCGTGTGGTCGCCCACGTACATGCGACTGTACGGCACTGGAAGGAACAGCACGAGCGCTGCACCACATCGAGTGACTTTGGTTCTTGTGGTCCATTGTTTGCCCCCGCCAACAAGTGCTTCAAGCACAATCCACAGCGAAAAGCCAATAGCGTTTGTAGCGTGTCCAGACGGCAAGCCATTGCTCGAGACACAGCTGCCGCAGGGACGTTTGCATGCATTGCAATCACCCAGACTCGTGACGAGGACGACAGCGTTGATAATTGTCACCATGGGAATGAAGCAAACGGCAAAGACCCGCGTCCACGTGCGTCGGTGGACGATCATCTCGAGTGCAATGGCCATGGGCACAAGATACGGCACGAGACTGTAGAAAGTAAAGACAATGTCCCAGAACCCAATGGCACTACTAATGGGTACGCTCGTACTAAAGACTGTGCGGGCTATTACGTTCATGCTGCATGGACCGCGGGCACAGCGGTCTGAGTCATGGCCACAGAGCGAGCAGCACTCGTCAAAGGAAGTGCAAGTCTCTTCTTGTGTTGCTACACTATGGAACAGCATTGAAGCAGCAGCAGCAGCAGCAAACACGCATGGTGTGGCACCATGTCGCAGGAAAAAAAACATCATTGGACGACAGCGACTCGTGTTGGTCGTGGATAATTCGCTACTGGTTCAACAATGGCAAAGAAGTAGCTGGAGCTGGTGAGATCAGATGGTGTGAGAGACGAGGCGAGGCGGGCAGTTCAAAGCGGACAGCGTGGGGATGAGAGACGTCGCTGTTGTTCTTAACTGACATCGATTCCGGCGTTGGTGAGTGAGAGACCTGCTGTTGTGGAGTCGCAGTATAGTAGTATACATGTCGTGTATACGCTAGCACAACTTGTGTGTGAGTAAAATTGACGATGGAGGCGCTTATCCTGTGGTGACATTTGGTGCTCTGGTCGTTGATTGGCTATAATCCAAAAGCTACCACGATCATTTGAGCGGCTACGGCCATTTGCATCAATCGCTAAGCAGTCGCACGTTCAGTCAGAGGCCAGCGAGAGAGAGAGAGAATCATGTCGTCGGGGTTTGGCTTCAAGGGCGGGGAAGGCCGGTGCTACCAGTTCTGGAAGAGCGTCGAGCAGTGCAGTGTACGGACCATACAAAACGTTGCCCATGTGTTTGTAAATGGCTCGAGTTACTGACGCATGTGCCTGTTTGTTGACCAATGGAGTAGAAAGATACGGAGGTGTCTGGACAGTGTGGAAAGCAAGTTGAGGACTATCTGGAGTGCCTCCACCACCGGAAAGAGGTGCGCTGGTTGGTGGATGTAGCGTGTCCTGCTTGTAGTGACTCATTGTCGTGCTTGATGTCGTCACCCTTTGTTGCTGTGTGTGGCGGATGCAGTTGACACGCATGAACGTGGTCATCGCTCAGAAAGAGAAGGAGGAGGCGGCGGCGGCGGCTGCCGCTGCGACACGTCACGGTGGCGATCAGGGACATGGAGGTGGTCATTGAGTACGGAACGAAGCTATCTGGAAGCACCTGAAGTGGCCGTCAGGGTTCAGTCAAGCGACGGAGGGAGAAGGAGCAGCACGCAGGGGCATGATCAATACAGATGCCGTGTACTTGACGCTCATTGAGTTACTGATCCACTTTCTTTTATCAACGGTTGTAATCGTGCAGGTCAGAAGCCCGTGATATTTGACATGCATGCCAGCTCAGCGATGGACAACTGCGTCGACGTCCTTGTTTCAGCTGTGTCCCTTATTTCGCGTCGCGTCCATAAAACTAGGTCCGAGCCTTGTCTTTAGTGCACACATCAACAAAACACTCACCTCAGCGGGGCGCTTCCAACAAGGGATCCCCAACCCAAGCGGTGAGTGGTCCACACGAACATCCACCCCACGAAACGTCGCCACCTCCCTCCTACCTACCTGTTCGTCCGATCTTTTCTTGTCGCGCGATCCCACTTTTGTTCCATTCGAGTCGAATGGATCGTTTCGAAGAGCTCCAATGCATCGGACGCGGGAGCTACGGCTCGGCCCACTTGGTCCGAGAGCGTTCGGGCTCAGAAAAGCGTCTGTTCGTGGTCAAGAAGATCCCCATGGAGCTGCTCTCGACCAAGGAGAAGGACCAGTCGTTTCGGGAAGCTCAGCTGCTCGCGAAGCTCAAACATCCGAATGTCGTCGAGTACAAGGCCAACTTTGAAGCCGATAATGTGCTGCATATTGTGATGACGTATTGCGACGGGGGCGACTTGGCAGACACGATCAAGCAGCAAAAGAAGATACGGGAAGCGCTGGTGGGCAGTGACTGTAGCCACAAGCATGTCGCAGATCCAAGAGGATACTTCCCCATCACACAAGTACTCGATTGGTTCGTGCAGATGGCAATGGCCATCAAGTACCTGCACGATCAGCGTATCCTGCACCGAGACTTGAAGACCAGCAATGTGTTTCTCACGACAGAAAACGTGGTCAAAGTCGGGGACTTTGGCATTGCCAAGACGCTTGACTCGACACTGGACCAAGCTCAGACCATGGTGGGAACGCCGTATTACATGAGTCCAGAAGTCTGCGAGAGCAAGCCGTACTCGTATGCGAGCGATGTGTGGTCGCTAGGCTGCATCCTGTATGAAATGCTTGCACTCCGCCATGCCTTTGATGCGCCGAATATACTCACGCTGATCCTCAAGATTGTGCAGCAAGACTGTGCACCTGTACCTCCGTGCTACGACAGACAAGTGTCAGACTTGGTGCACAAGCTTCTGGACAAAGATCCGGAGAAGAGGCCGAGTACGGAAGAGATCTTTGCAATGCCGTATATCCGCCACCACATGCAGGGACTCGTGACTTCCAGCGGCTCGCTCAAGGTCAAGATGATGAAGTCCATACCGCAAAGTCCACAACATGGTTCAAATGGTCAACGCCAGCTACGTTCCAGAAATCCGTCTCCGCGGCGCTCGTCTGGAGAGAAAAGGAGGCTGCGACCAGCAGCTTCGACGGGATCTTCCCAGGTAGCTGTCGTCGCACCGATGCAGTGGGTACCGATTGAATCTCGCACCAAAAACGCTGGCAAGCTGGAAGAATGCAACGAGTTCGGTCTGCCAGATGCGCGCACTTCAGAGCCGTCGCAGCTAAACTTTCGTCTACCAGAGCGCAGCAGCACACCAGAGCCGCTTGCACTCGTTACAGGAGACAAACAGTTTTCGTCGATGCAGGGTGAGCACAAGTGGTCGTCGCATGATGAAGCAGTTGACAACGGTGCACCAGACGCTATACCAAGAGCTGCACGTGTACGATCACGACTCCAGCGTAGTCCAGAAGACAACTTGTTGGCCGCATGGTCGTCGGGCAAAAGCGATGAGAAGTCACGTGTGAACGGCAGTGCTTGCCCGAGTACCATCGAAAGTGTCGACGCTTGTGTCAATAACTCGGAGTTTCGAGTGAGAACCAAAGAGCTGATGGACCCGAATTTCCAGTACGAGAACACTGACGAGGGTGTCGACAGCTTGCAGATCTGCTGCAGCTCCAAAGCCAACAGGGCGACCGAGCCCAATATGCGAGTAAAACGACAATCTGAAGATCCACAGCACAGCGGCGTTGGAGACCGGTCAACGCAAACCACACCTGGTATCTGCGGGTTTGATCGGGCGCCAGAATCTTCCACCTTGTCATCAGACAGCATCGAATCGGAGAGTACAGGAACACCCTCTCTGAGTGAGAGTTCCATGATGCGTGCAATGGAGCTGGATGCGGATAGTGACGATAGCGATGTGTCCTCTGGTACATCGTCAAGTGAATACGAGGTCGAAGAGAACTATTACAGCGACGGCTCCTCCTTTGATCGAAGCGGAACTCAGTACAGCGACGACGACTTTGAAGACCCCGACGCTGAAGTCATTGAATACGCAGACGAAGAGTTTGTCAGTGAAGGAGATGACGATGACAATGAGCACTCACGCTTCAGCAGCAGAGGAGAAGCAGACAAGGAGCCCGCTTCTGACCCGAATGGCAGTCAAAACCCAACCGCTGGCTACGGATCGGCGGTAGATGACAGCAGTCGTTTTGCGCTTGCATCAAGGCTCGAAGGTCCGACTGAAGTCCAGCGGGTTATGTGGAATGTAGCGCAGAGCTTGATGCTGACTAGTGACCCCTGAACACGCACTAACAGCACGCGCACATGCACCGATACAAACAAGTGGTGAGGTGTAGCAAACATGGCTAATATAATTATTCGTCCCTTACTTACGCGTATACCATATCGAAGTCTCCCGCGGCGATGGAATCACTGCCGTGTCTTAATCATCGGAGACGTTCCAAACACGCTACGATGAAGATAAGCTTTCGTTCGGAGACGCGCGAAATATTGTAATTCCTTCATCGCTGCCGCCTCTGATCTCCAGAACCTCTTCTTTTGATAAGAAGTACACCTCGCCCTTAGATATCAACTGACCGTCGGCTGTACCATTCGGATGATCCATCCTCGAGCCACTACCACAAGTGACGAGAACGATCGAGTCACCTTTTCGTGCTGGCAGCTTATACCGTTGATCGGGTTTCAGCTCAACGGTCTCGACCTCAAATTCAGGGGCTGGAGAGCTATACAGCCGTGCAACACCAGCGCCCTGACTCTCGCCCTTGTACACATGCGGCTTGCCCGTGTGGTACGTCAGCATCGAGTGCAGCGTCTCTTTGTCCATAAATTTCGGAGTCAGCCCAGCACGGACAACGTTGTCAGAGCACGCCATACACTCGATGCAGTCACCGGAGAGGTACGCATGGGGCTCATTTGCATGGAGGAACATGGCTTCACCGGGTTCCAGCGCGACATAATTGAGCAGGAATGGACAAAAGCAGCCAATGTCGCCCGGGTGTTCATCGTCCAAACGAAGCACCATCTTCTCCATTGCAGTCAAATCTGACGACGTTTCAAGACGTGCCCGCAGGGTTTGCAACTGCGCTACAATAGTGTCTGGCTCGGCATAGATAAACGAGCGGAAGAACACGCGCAGTGACGCTTCGTTCTGCTGCGCTCGTAACTGCTGCGTAACTGCACGAATATCATCACAAAAACCAGTTTACATCCATCATCAGTATACTGCACTCAGCACAAAAACAGCTTCAGATCAGAGGCACGTACTCTCTGGATCCACGAGCGCTCGAAACTCAGGAACAGTCTCGAGGTGCGTCACAATCTCGTGAATATCCCGAAACTGGCACCTATAATCACACGCATTTCAATCCATTGTCAGTGAAGCGTCAGCAATTGGACACAAAGGAAAAGAGAGGGTACGCACAGCGCTTCGAAGCGCGTGATTGCAATGATCATCTCGGGTTTATGGTTCGCGTCCTTGTACATCTCCGGGAACTTGGCGTGCAATTTGGCCGCGAGCTTCACGTCCGGATGGGCTTGAATGGACAGCGCCTTGCGTACGGACAAGACCTTGAACAGATAGGGCAGATCTCGTGGCTCTTCAGAGCCTCCTCGGTGGAGCTGCTGGAGCCATTCACTTAGTAGAGGTGACTCGTGGGTACCTTCGCGCAACACGCGCGACGGACCGTTTGCATGGGTCCCCATCCTAGTGCCACTCATTGCAATACCACAATGAAAAATGACGTCCGACGGGCACGAAGTAGAAAAAAGGGTTGGAATTTCATCATCAGAATATTCCTCTTGAGAATCAAAGGGGGTAGGTACCACGTACCAGAGCTCGGCGTACGGGGTCCCCCGGTCGGCCTTGAATGAAGCGTCTCCTGCCTCCTACACACACGCAATCAACGACACAGAGGAGGAGGTCAATGATGTGGTGATGTACGTGGTTACACGGCATCCATTGGCGCACCATGAGCTGCGCTACGGAGCTCTCGAGTCCGAGTTTTCCCCATGCGTACGTCTGGACGACGCACTGGAGTTTCTGCATCGGGGGTATCACTGGAGGGGAGGAGGTCAAGTTCATGAATGACGAGTGCGAGGTGAGGGTCCACTTGCGTAACGGACTTGCGTGTATTAGTTATTGGAGTCAGTTGCACGAGATTGTCGTTTCTAAATCCGGGCGTATTGGTCCAGACAACAACAATTGAGGTCACAAGGTTCTATTTAAAGTCGAAGACGATGCAAAAGTGGGTTTAGTACTGGCGGCTTCTGGACTCCAATTGGGGTCGCAAGGTTCTACTAAAAAGTAGAAGGGATCGCTAAAAAGTAGACGCCGAGTCGACAGGTTGTAGCAGAAGACGAACCGCATGCCGCAGCCGTGTGGGGTGTGTACGACGACCGAGGCCAAGTACAGGTGCCCGACATGTCGCATACTCTATTGCAGTCTCGCGTGTTCGAAGACGCACAATGAGACGCCGTGTGCACCGTTACCGGCTCCGGAGAAGCCGCGAGAGTCTACAGTTACTTCAGCGCCATCGATTTCAATGGACGAAAAGCGCGAGCGACTTACTGAGGAACAGATGGGAACACTCGAGACATGTGCGAGTGTAAAGAAATGGCTCGCGAACCCGGCGATTACCACGGCATTGACTCAGGTTAGATCTCATGCAGTCGCGTGTTGCGTTACTTCAGAGCCAGTGCTGACCGATTGTGTATGTTTCCAACCACCACTTGTGCTCCAATAGATTGAGTGCAGTCAGGACAAGACGAAAGCGCTCGAGAAAGCGTTACTGGACCCGCCATTTGCCGAGTTTATGTACCACGCGCTGGATCAAGTGGTTACTCTGAAGTAACAACTTTTCCTTCCCACGCAGTCCAAATATCCCAGTAGCTGTTGCTAGAAAGTCGCTAATTTCTATTGCCCACACATGCTCTCTAACCCCATACAAGCTCTCCAACTGTCATCTTCGCCTCCAACCTGAGAAACCAGCCATCCCACAGAGCGTTCCAACTCGATCCAGTCAAGTGCGTGGAGCTCATTGTCATCCTCGACACCGCTCCGATGCTGTTCAGGCCGTTCCCAAGTCTCCTCGCCCCTGCCCGAGCTCGTCGTGGGTTCCACTCCATCCTGAACTCCCTTGTGCCCATGGTGCTCGAGCAATCGCCACGGGGCGAGCGCGTATTCGACATCTACTCGCGCCTGCTCAAGGAGCGCATTGTGTTCGTCCACGGGCCAATCAATGACGACGTGGCGTCGCTCGTGACGGCCCAGTTGCTCTTCCTCGAGGCCGAGAACCCTGAGAAGGACGTGTTTCTGTACATCAATAGCCCCGGTGGGATCGTGACTTCTGGCTTGGCGATCTACGACACGATGCAGTACCTGCAGCCAAAGATACGTACCCTTTGTATGGGCCAAGCTGCTTCAATGGGATCGCTCTTGCTGGCTGGAGGCGCTCCGGGATGTCGCTCGGCTCTGCCGAATGCCCGTGTGCGTGAGTCTTTATTTATGCTGAGGAGACGAGGCTGTAGACAAGGTCCTGATCGTTGAGACGGTTGTTTTTTTCTTGTCGCTTGTTGCAGATAATGATCCACCAGCCTTCTGGAGGGGCTCAGGGCATGGCAAGTGACATTGCGATACAGGCCGAGGAGATCATTAAGCTGCGCACGAGGTAGACGGCAGAAGATGACTACAAAGGGCGACCGAGCTCGAGTGAGACAGTGGATGTGGTGGAGGAAGCTCTAACTGCTGCGGTTGTTGTTGCTGTATCTTGTGACAGGTTGAACGGGTTGTATGCGGGGCACACTGGCAAGCCTATTACAGAAATTGAGCGAGCAATGGACCGTGATCTCTTCATGGATCCACAAGAGGCGCAAGCTTTCGGGATCATCGACTCGATCGTTTCCAGCCGGAAACTCCCGCAGTCGATAGGGTGATCAGTGCAGGAAGAAGGTGACCGACCTCCACCGTCTCACACATACCAGCAACACCAGATGCAACGATGAGATGCCACATCGATCGTGCACCAAGTGTCTACAAGCAGCGAGCGACTGATGCTGCAAAAAAAGCGCATGTTCGCACATCAACAAGCGTCTTTACCTTCTGCTGACGAACGTCACAGTCTTTTAGTAAAATCGTTCGTGCTATTGTCGGTGCAGTTGTTATCTGATCTCCATGCGACCGATCCACCGGCTAACCACTCGGTCGACAGCTACAGTACCACAGCTCATGTTTCTTCACGTCCGAGCTTCTCTCACCAAACCAAGTGCGCTGCACCACCAATCAGCGCCTCTCTCTGTCCCGACATCACGCACTCATCTCGCTTTCCGGCTCGTCAATCTCCCCCAGCTCCCACTTGAGATCCGGCAAGCAAGTCTCCCGCTTCACCTACGACATCAACCAAGCAAAGACAAACACCCAAGACAACAGCAGCAGCGACAGCGTCAGTCTCGACATCAGTAGTGCGAGCAGCGAAAGCTCTCGGCCTCTGCATTATCCCCGCACCGCTTGTCGCCACGAGTCGGGATCGTAGAGCGTCACGACGCCCATGAGCGTCACAAAGAAGCCCAGTCCACACAGCCAGTGTCTCAGCGCCTGGTACTTGGGAATGTGCGGCGCATCAAAGTCAATGAGCGTCTCGGGGGACACGCCGTCGTTCCAGACGAGCTCCGCCTCTTCGTGTAGCGGCTGCGCTGGCGCTTTGAGACGCGCGAAAGGGGGAGGTGGGGGACGGTGCGCGTGGCCTCCACGTACGGCCAGTACCTCGCGACGAACATTGACGCTCATGCCGCCACGGAGGGCGGAAGTCAGCGCGCGGGAGGAGCTCATACGGACGGTCGAGGGGGAGCGGTTGTGCTGCGGTGGTCGAGAATTAGCCAATCGCTGACATTGGCGGGAAATCTGATATTTGAGCCAATCAAAACAATTGGCGCGTCAAAAGGGTCACTACATCGATTGTTTCAAGGCAAGAATGACCGTGACCAAGCTCAAGCTGAAGCGACCTGTGCTCCAGCTGTATGCGCAGTGTCTGCGGTCGGCTCGGCGGTGTCCGCAGTGGGAGCAGCGCGAGATGATGAAGACGTACGTACGGATGAAGATCCGGAGCGAGGTCGACACGCAGGACCCGGATCGAGTGCGGACGCTCTTAATGGATGGCAGGGAAGAGCTCGAGCGCATGAATTACTACCACTCGATCTACGAAGCGAAGGAGAGACTAGCAGCCACAGCAGCTAGAGCGGCAAGTGATGGTACAGCTTCGAGTATGGAGGAGCGAACGCGTCCGTTCAGTTGCGTTCATTGTCGGGCGGCGTATCCGTCCAAAGAAGCCAATTTTTGTGCCAATTGCGGCACCAAGAGACCCGGAAGTTCCTGACGTGCTCGAGCATCTTGGTCAGCGGGAGTAGGGAACAAGCAAGTAAGTTTGCGGTTATTTGCATGCATCTGTTGCATTCTATTGAGCAGCGTCACAGCTGTCAACTCGTGTCGAAGCAAAGGACCTCGCGGGTATCCGACTGTGGCGAGTATGAAGTTGCCATTCTCTTGGTGCGTATCTGGGCAGTCGCGTCTCTCGCTGCATCTGCATAGCTACGGCCACTGATGGACGCGTTCTGTTTTCGTCGGGTGGGAGCATTAAATCTGGTGGAGACACAGCGGCACCTGCGTTAGTCATCACGTGGACCATGGATTGCACCTTGAAAGCGAGCCCACTCGAATCCATGATCCTTACAATCCAGCACGCTCGTCCGATCAAAAGGGCCACGGGGACCGCGCCAAAATGCCTCGAGTCGACTGAGCACGTCGAGTTGTCTCCTTCTACCCACACGTGGCCCTTTGGGACGGTGATCTTCTTCTTGCGCTTCTCGTCAAAGCGCGGCTGGAGCTCCACGACGTCACCCTCCTGCACAGCTGATTACTACTACACTACTACATAGCGGTATTGGATGGCACATGTACACAATGAAGAGCGCGTACCAGAGCCAGCAGTCGCTTCGTAATGGTCTCCCCTCGACAACGAGTGGGCGATCGAAGCTGCACGAGGTCCCCCCTCTCCCACTTGCGCCAGCGTCGTGACAGTCGGTCGACAACGATGAACGAGCCGTCGGGGATCGTGGGGATCATGGACAAGCCCATGCCATAGTTGACGTCGAACAGATACGTCTTGGTCATGGCTGTCCAGCTCACGATTAGCACGGCCTTGCGCATGGCCATCGTCGAAGTCATTGATGGCAATTATTGATTGACAAGGTTGGTGGACAATAATTGCAATGCGTGTGGGGTCATTGACAGTCGAATTAGTGTTTCGTATTTTGTGATCCGTTCGATCCTGTGCTCGAGGACGGTATGACGTTCTCTCGAGTCATGATGATTGTATTGTGACTATTGACGCACTGCGTCATATACCATTCGTCTCGCGTGGAAAATATCCGTGAGATGTGCGACCATATATCCAGATAGATGGCTCTATCCTGTTTTTCTTGTGAAAAGTCAAACAGGTTCCTAATCAAGCGATGAAACATGGGTGTTTTAGAGATCTTCATCATAGCCAAGTCTGTGCCGTACCCAAATTCAAGCTTCAAATTCAGGACCAGCGTCGTGCAGAATCATCCGTGTCCAGGCGACGTCCATTTCGACTCGAAGTGGCTGTAGCTGCTATCAATGGCAGATACGCTATTGCTAATACACACGTAGCACGGAGCCTGTCTTGTCGGGCGAGACGCCGGAACCGACGCCTTCTTCTGTGCACAGTAGACCATCTGACAGTCCAACCTCTGTCGAAGAAGACGGACACGAATACCCAGCGCTTGTATTGATTCCGTGTCGGCATGCGTTTGTCCGTAAAGACGAATGACTCGTAAGGCCTCACAACCGATTAGCGTGACAACCTACGACCAAGCTGGCTTAAACAACACTCGACCTGGCACGACCTGCCCTCAGTGTTTTTTTCGACGTCCTTAAGACATCTTGCAGGTATACAACACCTCAGCTGGCTCTAGTTTCGGATTCATTACGTTGGTTGCCACCTATTTCTGCGAGCTCGATGACAATGTCATCATATATCCTCCTCAGTAAAATGTCGACCCATGTCTACGACGACGGCCGCTTCCAGACTGCCAACCAGCCACTGGTAAATGCATTAAGCTGATGCGTAGCTTCTTGCATAGCGTTCAGATGTCCACTAAGTCCTTCAAGACACGTCGTCACTGCTGCAAGGGCCGCCGCGCAATTCTCGTACGCTTCGATGCGACGCTCGACGCCTTCCAGGTACTCCTCGCGACCCCTCTCTTGCTCTCCTTGCCGCTCGATCACGTCACTTTCCGTGTCACGAGACGTTCCTGGCTCACCACTGCCTTCATTTACTACTGACTCTGTTGACATGAGCAGCTCCGAAGGGTTTTTAATACTGATGATGCTGTCTTTTTGCCAACGAATTAAGGTTCGATGCCCGACCTTTTAGCGGCAGTGCTTGCATTTTCGTCACACTTATTTAGGACCAAAACTCACTGACCGTCGTCGACTACTGTGGATCAGTCGTTTGGATGGAGGTATGATGGACAGCGAGGTGGGTGGGTGATACAGTGTAGCTAACTGTAACTGCGAAATGCTGCGGCAGCAATGAAATGAACTCGCATCACTCTCAGGCGAAAACGAAGCGAGCACATGGCAAACGACAAAGAGCTGCACCGTCTTCCATCGGATTTGATATCTCTGCTGCCCGCCCCATCCCTCCTCTTCGTCCTCCATTTCAACCCTTTTAACAACGTCAAAAGCGTCTAGTCCGATCTTTGAGCATCCGCGAGCGCCTTCTTGACCTGAATCTCCGGAGACAAGTACCCACGCTTCTCATAGTTCGTGTAGTACGTGAGTTTCTTGGGGGTCGGACGGGCCGACAGCGGAATCGTCTCGAACTTGTGAGGCTTGAGCAGTGCACGCAGCGCCAGTCGGTTATGATACACGGACGTGATGCTGCCTCCAGCTGCTTCAACTGCCTTAATAGCTGACGCCGACGCCTGCGAGACTTCAATGTCCAGCTTCGCTGTCAGGTGCTGGCTGCCATTCCCCAGCAACTTGATCCCGTGCTTCACACGCGAGCACGTCACCATGCCGCAGTCCACCAGGTCCTTCATTGTGATCGTTTTCGACGTGTCCAGACGTCCCATGTCCACAAAAAGCTGGAGTTTGTCCACGTTCAAAGGCTCCATGGGCGTCGCAAACTTATTGTTGAAGCCGCGCTTTGGCACACGTTGGTACAAAGGCGTCTGCCCCCCTTCAAAGCCGGGACCACGTCCCGATCCTCCGCCCGAGCGCGCCTTCTGTCCCTTATGACCACGACCCGAGGTCTTGCCTTTGCCCGAGCCAATACCGCGGCCGAGACGCTTGCTGCGCTTGTGTGCGCCATCGTTATCACGCAAGGTATTGAGACGCACCCCTTCTAGTGCTGGAGCAGCAGATGCCGCAGCGGCGGAGCTGGCAAAGGCCACGCGAGGGCCGCGAGCACAGGGCAGAGCTCGCTCCAGGGCCTTGAGACTCCACATTCGTTCAGGTCAAATCGATGGCGAGGAGGTCATTCGTACATTACCGAGACGATGTGCTACATCATCACTACGTCAAGAAACGAGGGCGATATGACCAGCTGAAATTGTGCTTTTGACTGCAGCGTGCCAAAATGACTACCGAAGTCAATAAAGGAGTCCGTGGTGGTGTGGGAACTACCTGGGACAAAATAGCAAATGCTGAACGGCTGCTGGGTTCATTTTTTATTCGGCTGGGTCGTTCTGAAAAGTTCTCAGTTGTCACTCAAAAGTAACGCAGAAGTACGCCCAACTTGGTCAACAGTATATCCCACATACTCAATTTACTATCATTATCGACTCACATGCCCGTTCACAATGACGATACGGTGCAAAACAGGCTGCGACCCTCCCGGACCTTCGTTCTTCTGTAAGTGCACCATAATGAGAAAGAGATCACTTTTTGATGCCATCTGCATCGTCAATAGGTCCAGCAACATGATGCATCCGCGCGATCGCACTTACGATGAACCGGTATATCTCGCCTGGAAATGTTGTTAGTGGCGCGTTCTTACGTAATTCAACTGCAATTGATACGAACAAGATGTTTACACCGTTTGACATGGCTGTAGTCGTCCAAACAAGCAGCAAACCCGCATTGTAAAATCAGCGCGGAGGTTAATACTCATAGTCAAGTCGGAAAGATGAAAACTTTGGTGTTTGCGATCTCGCGAGGAGCCCCCCCAATAGTGTCGGGAGTGGGCTCAAAGACTAGAACACCAACACTTCCCCAAACAGGAGGTAATCGTGTTCGATAACCGTACTGCAAGACAAAGTCAAAGCGCTGTGAATTTTTATCGCGTCCGAGTTATCTGTCTTGCCTCCCATCACTTGCAGCCTCGCTTGGTGCTGGCCAGTGTCATGCTGCCGTTTCGGCCTTGCTGAGCAGCATGTAACGTTCTGTGGTCGGTGCCTACGTGTCAGCGGTGGGATTTGAGCCCACGAGTGCGAACACAGTAGAACTTGAGTCTACCCCCTTAGATTAAGTCCGTCCAAGCTGATTTCTGTAGCCGTAGTTGACCAAAGCTAATACACCTACAGGCTCTAAATCATTAGCCGCTAGTTCACCTTCCCTGACATGTTTCCTCAATCCTGAAACGCAATTCCAACAAATTGGACATCGTGGTTGAAACGCGAGAGCGATCACAAGAAATCCCGTTTGACGAGAAGGTCATCCAATGTCATTTCTAACACCAAATTGTTAATTCGACGATTTTCAACAGGATACGTTTTAAAACACGACTGTTTTATCCTACACCAAAAGAATGACCCAGCCGAATAAAAATGAACCCGGCCGTTTAGTATTTGCCTCAATTTACCATAGGTCTACCTACAGCTGCCTGATTCGTGTACGATTGTGCGTCCACTGATCGTCGATGGCGGACGACCCACGTCCGCTCAGCAAGAAGCTGCGTCGGAAGCAGGAGACAACGCGATGGCTGGCTGGCTGCGTGCAAAGCTTCTCAATTGGCTGGTGGCAATCCCAAGTTCTCACGAAAGCGTCGGAATCAGCGCCAAAGCCATCGGAGCGCACATGTCGAGCTCCTCCCCTCCGTCCACTCGTACACGTGCTCGTCCACCACGTGTACCAATCGATGGACAGGCAGTGAGTGTGTCAGTCCACCATGTTGATCCTTATGTGTATCGCTTTGCCTTGTTTGCTAAAGGCCAGTCAGTCGGTGGTCAGGTAAGTCCTTGGATAAAGTGGTTGCTCGCGAGGTTCCGACGCTCTCGCCCGATGCAATTGGAACTCGTGCGAGTGAATGGAAGCAAGGCAAGTTTCGACTCAGTGATCCAAAGTGGAGACTTTATCGACCACTTGAAGCACCGACATGAACTAAATGTCCATTGTCCAGCTGGCGGAGAAGGCACGTAGTCTTATGACCGAGCTGGCGGCTTGTTCGTTGGTCAGAGGTGCGGAAATTGCATTGCGCAGACGTTTTACATCGCACGAGTGAAAAACGGGCGAGGTCCCGCAGGACGAAGCAACTTCGGCATGGGCACTTGTCAAAGGCTTGAGCTCGAGGCTGGTAACGATCGAAGCTATGGGTGAATGCTACTGGCGTGTGATGGCTCCAATCAGATTGAAGTAGCTACGCCAAGGACGTGTGCGATGTGTGACGGAGCTCCGTCTGCAAGGTATTGTGTTACGCTCAAGCATCTTCATGCAAAAAAATGATGGGACGGTCAAAGCCTTGTCGAGTGCCGACTTGTGACAGGACGGACGCACCACATCCGCGTCCATTCACAGCATTTGGGCTTCGCCATTGTGAATGACCTGCTTTATGGCCCGTGGCGACCGAGAGTAGAAGACCATCAGCAAAAGTTGCAGTTGCAGTGCAAGTGTCAGGCACTATCGATGAGCGATCAAAATCGGAACCATGAAGTCTTCTGAATACACAGATCAAGACAAGGAAAAGCGATGTATCGTGCATGGTATTTGCATTGGTGCAAACCAACAACACTTGCTTCTCCGTGTTGACTAGGGTCGGTTGAGGAGACCAGACACTCATCTACAACAACAATTGTAAAAGCATGCGAAATGAAGCGTTGTAAATTTTTATTCTGAACCTCGTACTATTCTGTTCTTCACAAGCAACGCTGATGAAGTGGCGTTGGCTGTACCAGTATGTCCACTCACGCTATCTACTAGCACATCACGCCAACACTACGTTTAACCTGATCCGTCCATGCCACCTCGCAGCCAAGTTATCTTGATGTCAAGTTTCGCCATTTTTGACTGGTAACATGTACAATCTTTCTCGTGAGGTCTCATTCTTTTACTTTCCTCTACAAGAGGAATTTCCATGACATATTGCTTCAGCTCCTTCAGGTTATCGTCAGTGTCCAGCATGTCTTTCGCCTTTTTCCTCCCGCTTTTCTAATAGTTTTGACATTCAAAATCCCAAATATATCAGCCGGAACTGTAACGGGGTGAATCGTTACATAACAATTTATAAGAAATTGTTAATAGAATATAACTGTAAGAGTTATTTTGTCAGAATAGTGTCATAAGGACAAATATTCTGCAGCACTTTCAAGTAGTTCCTAATTGGTTGATATAGGCCATGATATCAACCAACGAAGACGCGCCACGACAGACGCACGCAATGAGTGGTGAGCAGATAACTGATTTACACATTTGTATTTATACATAGTTAGATGAAGATAAACAGTGGTTTCTTAACAGACATTAGCAACTATAAATACAGTTCTACTTTTTACTTTAACTAAGTACTCGCTTCTCCTTACCGTCTTCCTCTGCACGTACCAGTGTACGTGAAGTTCCGAGGCACCGCCTTATTCTGTCGTCAGAATAAGTAGCTTGTACTGTCATCAGTACAAGCTTCAGGGTGCCCCGTTACACCTGGTAGCACTTCGTAGTCCGTACAAGGACCACGTTCACATCGAACATGAATATGTTGGATGATGATGATGACCAAAGCTTTTACGCTACGCGTGACAGCTACTCCCATTTGAGCGATATTGAATGGGATGCGGTTGAACAAATGGGTTCAACCATGGGCATCCATGCTGTTAGCGTCATGCTAGAGGCTCTCAATAGAGATGCCCAACATGCTACTATCGTCAAGTTCATTTTGAATGAACTTGACGCTGAACGCGAGAAAGTAGCCTTGCTTCACCAGCAAGGTTCTCAACAAGCAGAGTTGTTGAGAGAACAGGGTGCTCAACAGTTTGAACTGTTGAGACAGCAGCAGGCTGCTGCTGGTGGGTCGATGCATTCGCGTCGAACCGAGACCTTGAAGATTGACATCTCCAAGTATAGGGGAGTCGAAGAGGACTCCCTCTTGAGATGGTTTGTCGAATTAGACGACGCCATAAGGGCGCGTCGCATCGACGACGGGGATATGCAAGTTGCATTTGCCCAATCAAATCTGGCAGGACGTGCCAAGGCTTGGGCTTTGGGGCTCAAGTTGCACGACCCATATGCGTTTGGGTCGTTAGAAGTCTTCAAGTCGCGGTTCAGACAAACGTTTGAACCGCCTAGAGCTGAGTTTAGAGCGCGAACTGAACTCTTGAAGCTCAACAGGGTAAGCGTGATGTGCACGCTTACGCACAACATATACGACATCTCACGAGTTGTATAAGTTCTAACCCGGTGGATGAACACACGTTGGTTTCGGTGTTCATGCGGGGTCTTGCGGATGGTCCCGTCAAGACTCACCTGTTCCGACTTGAACTAGATTCACTAGAACAAGCCATTTCCATTGCGGAGCAGGAAGACTTCAGTCTGAGACAGGCTCGCGCCAGCTCGACATCATATCGTCCACCGAGACTACATGACAGCGGAAGTCCAGAGCCGATAGAACTCTGTTATATAAAGAGCGAGAAGGCTCGCTCTACAGACTACGAGAAGTTGCAGAAATGCAACAGATGTCAAAAGACAGGACACTACGCTTACGAGTTTAGTGCCCCTCGTCCAGTGTCTTGCAACACTGGGCGTAGTGACCGTCCACCCATGAGAAAGGGGCAGGGACGCGGGTCCGCTGTTGGTGCAAAGACGCAACAACGGGATGGACCGTCAAAAAACGGACAGGATCAGTAGGTGCGGAGCACCCAACTGGTCCAGCAACGTCAAGAGAATTTTTAGGCCTCTTGATGAAGGTTTCTCCCAATACACAAACGTTGTGCGTTGCTGCTCTAGGTAATGAGAATCTCACTCATTACCTTGAAACTCGAAGTGAGAATAAGTTGTCCCTTCGAGCTCTAGTCGATTGTGGGGCGTCCAACAATTTTGTGCAACGCCAATCGCTAGAAGATGGTCACTTCAAGTTTGTTGACTGTGACACACCTCCTACGAGGATGACGGTACGCTTTGCGACTGGCGCATCCGTAACCGTCATGAAGCGGATAGTGAAGATCCACTATACGCTAGAAGATACCCAATATGATGATGAACTTATCGTATTGGATTTGGATGACAAATTTGATGTCATCCCTGGAATACCGTGGCTCAGAAGGTACGAACCACGAGTAAACTGGCAACATCGGACAGTAACGATGCCTGCCGCTTGTTCATCAGATGGCCATCTGATGAACGTTTTGGAGCGTCCACAAGCGTGTGGATGTACTACGAGTGAGTGCGATGGCCTCACTTGTGGTACGGTCGTTAGTACGACTGCACAAAACCTTAGTGTACCAAACGGTTACACTTCGGAGCAAAGTTCCGGCGGCTGTGAGGAAACACAGGCTGCGCCGAAGGTCCACCACTCGAATAAGTCGAGTGGACCGGGACAAAGATGTATCCCTAGCGGGGAACATCTAGAAGAGAAACCATCGATAGCTCAGGTTAAGCGAAACGATAATCCTAGATCGACTGGAGAGTCTTTCGTAGAGGATCTCGCTGTGGTTGCGCAACTACAGCTAGAGGAAGTAAAGTGAATAAGCCCCAAGATTACAAATACGGCAGAAATGAGTTCCCCGAAACCCGAGGGAATAAGTCCCCGGGAAGCCGAAGGAATAAGTCCTTCGAGGCCTGAGGGAATAAGATCCAGGAAATGACAGAGACATTGAATGTCATAGTCAATAACGGATCAAGTGTAGGCGCTTATACACTTGATCTGATTGCGCCTCCGAAGTTGACTTTGGAGATCACTCAGTTGCCAACGCTTGAACATAAAAGGTTCTTGCGTGATCTGCGTAGTGGAAAAGTCAAGCAGATCTGCGTCTCGTCGCTGAAGACGAGTTTGTAGCCGACATAAGGTCAGCAACAGTGTTCACTGAGAACGAGAGACTTCTCAGTAGTTCATCTATGGACGAGAGTGTCTTCGATGAAAAGACACGAGTTGAGCGATATGACTCCTAATCGTGGGAATCGATCAAGACAAATCCTCTCTATGAAGATTTGGTTGAATTCAAGGACGTATTCCCTGAAACTGTTCCGTGCGAGTTACTGAAGGATAAAGGTACTCGACACGAGGTCGAGCTTAAACCAGGCTCGAAGTACTGTGTCATGAAGCAGTGGCCACTGCCTCGTGAACAAGTACTTGCGATCAACAAGTTCTTTGCCGATCGTTTAGCTGCGGGTAATGTGAGGGAATCAACTTCCCTACATAGCTCTCTGACCTTCTGTGTGCGAAAAGCAACAGGAGGGTGGCGGATTGTGCATGCATTTATCAAGTTGAATGCTGCAACGGTACCGGCTCAGACGCCGATACCAAGGAAGGACGTAATCATTGATGGTATGTCAAAGAGTACCATCTTTTCGTCCATGGATTTGATGGATGGCTTCTATCAAATCCTTATACGAGAATGGGACATACCCTATACCGCAGTGTTCACGCCTAGCAGCATTCTCTGGGAATGGCTACTGATGCCACAAGGGCTTAGTTATGCCCCTGCCACGTTCAACAGATGTGTATCACATCTGTTGGGACCTGTGCGAGAATTCGCACCGAGTTATTTCGATGACGTATTCATCCATAGTCGGGCTGTGGATGGAAAGTCGGACGTTGAGGTTCACAGGTACAACGTCCGACAGGTTCTTACAATCATGCGAACGCATCAATTGTATGCCAATCTCAAGAAGTGTATATTTGCAGCGAGCGAAATATCACTTCTTGGGTGCATCGTTGGTAAGAACGGTGTACGTCCTGATCCCGAAAAGATCAAGGCGATCACCGACTGGCCTGTGCCGGTCGATGTCAAAGGTCTTCGAAAATTCCTTGGGCTAGCGGCGTATTTGCATAATTATTCACGCAATTACGCCGAGATGACTGTACACCTCTCTCGTTTGTTGAAAAAGAACGAGAGGTGGTTATGGAGCGCTGAATGTCAGCGCTTCTTTGACGGTATCAAGCAGAGCTTGATACAACCCCCCGTCCTAGCAATTGCCGATCAGGACAGATCATTTCATGTAATCTGTGATGCCAGCGATTTCGCAATCGGCTGTGCATTAATGCAGTACGATCTTGAAGGCGTAGAACGCGTCGTCTGCTATCAGTCGCGTCAGCTGCAACCAGCTGAGCGGAACTATCCAGTGCATGACAAGGAACTCCTTGCCATGAAGTATGCACTCGCGAAGTTCATAGTCTATCTACTAGAAGATAGACCCTTCATTGTTTACACTGACCATGCGTCATTACGCACGGCGGTAAACTGCCCGCACCTTTCACAACGAATGGCGCGGTGGTTGTCATTCTTTGCAGAATGCAGCTTTACGGTAGATTACAAACCAGGACGACTTAATGTAGTCGCTGATGCACTCTCAAGTCGGCCCGAATTTGAACCAGTCGTGAAACCCAACCTTGATACAGCCATTGTTGCGGTTATGACGTCCGCAATACCATCTTCAACGTTGCATGATGATGTGAGGCGGGCATACGCCCAAGATGGTGAGATAGTAAAGTTGTTGACACATCTCTCACAACCATCTCTAGAATCGTTGGCATGAGTATCGTCTGCGTATCGATCTGCATCAGATCGATACACTACTCGCGACGAATTACTGTATTATACAGCCGTTTCTGGTGACACACCACGTGTTTTCATTCCAGATGATACTGATCTGCGTTTGCGGATCATGTTCGAGTATCACGATGCTCCTATAGGAGGACATCGTGGCCGGGAGAAGACACATCTCACGGTTAGTCGAGACTTTTACTGGCCCCGCCAGTATCAGTTTGTGCGAAAGTATGTTCGCGCATGCGAAGTCTGTCAACGAGTGAAGTCAAGTCCTTCACTGCGTGCAACTTTACAGCCTCTACCGGTTCCGGCTGAGTGCTGGGAATCCATCTCAATGGATTTTGTCTTCGGGTCACCCAAAGACGCACGCAAGAATACGGGTATTCTCGTTTTTGTTGACAGATTCAGCAAAATGGTACACCTCGTGGCTGTACCAGAGTCAATCACAGCAATTGGCTGTGCTTGTGTCTTTATTGACACCATCTTCCGACTTCATGGGTTGCCCCGTGAACTTGTATCAGACAGAGATCCACGCTTCACTGCTGATTGCTGGCGCTCCGTGTTCAAATCACTCGTAACGCGCTTGAAGATGTCGATATCTGATCATCCAGAGTCAGATGGTCAGACGGAACGTGCCAATCGTGTCCTTGAAGAGATACTTCGAGGATACGTACACTCCTTTAAGAGTTGGAGTGAGTTTTTGCCAATGGTAGAGTTTGCCATTAACAACTCGGTGCATGCGTCCACGACACATACACCGTTTTACGTGAATGGATTACGCCATCCACGTGTACCCACCTTGATAGAGTGTGACTCTGGTTTAAGGGGGGGAGAGACTCGCGCGAGCAAAAACCGATTTGATTCACGCTCATCACGTTTTGACGAAAAGGTCATTGCGTTTGATGCCGATATCGAAAACATCGATATCGAAGAAGATGATACCAGTAAGAGTGCGGAAGCCCTCACTGAAGAAAAGATTGATGTTGCTTCAGTGCACTCACAGCGCACTGAAGCTAACGAGTCATCAGATGAATTCATACTGGCTCGTGATACGGTAGTCCGTTTTGTGCAAAACTCCATCGCCGAAGCAGTGGATAAGCAAAAGCAAAACGCTGACAAGAATGGAAGGGCAAACACTATTTAATTTAATAAAGGTGACTTGAGTCCTACTGTCTACGGTAAACCTACCAAAGCACGTAGTGACTAACTTGGGTAGTAGTAAACCTTTACCCAAGTACATCGGCCCAATTCGTGTATTGCATCGCCTAGGCAACGCATACACGATCGAGCTGCCACGTAAGATGCGGACGCATCTCACGTTTTAGGTTGGTAGGCTCAAGCCGTACCATCAGTACGCTGTTTTTTTCGATAAAAAACGCCCTTGCACCCAAGCATCTCACAGAGAGCCTTGTGCTCCCGATGGTGGACATCAACAAGGGTCTGAAGAGCAGTTATCTCAGCCCGAGACCGGTCAATATCCACACGAGCTACCCTTAGCTCGTCACGAAGAGGTGTCAAAGCTCTCTCGTTCTCAAGCTGAGCAAAGGCAAACTCAGCTCGATGCTTCAAGACAGTGTCCACCAGTTGAAGACGCCTGTCCCGCTCATGCTCGAGGTCGCCGCGCAACGCAAGAGCTACGCGATCAAAGAAGCTCTCGGGAACACACCGATCCACATGATCGTGTGGAGAGCGTCTTTTCTCCTCCTCCACCTCCATTAGAGGGCTCTCGCGGTGGCCAGCGCTATCTGGTTGAGCGGCTGTTGAACCACCGCGATGTGAACGGACGTCGGACGAGTTACCTCGTCCGGTGGCGCGGTTATCCTCCGTCCTGAGATACTTGGGAGCCCCGCTCCCAACTGATGATTGACGTACTGGGTCTGGTCGAGCAGTACGACGCGGCACATCCTGTGCCGCAGAAGGACCGCCGGAGAAAGTCTTCCCGGCACGGTCGTAAAGGGATTTCAGGTTGTCAATCCCTTCGTACATCTCAGTATAGATACGTACGCGCCACCACGGGCTAGTAAGGAGGTAAGCCTCCTTAGGTGCTCGTGCAGAGTTGTTCACACAGCGAGGGCAAGAGTCTCCCCAAGAGAGGCAGGGTAATTCCTTCTCCCTTGACAGACGATGCAGCTTGTAGCGTGCACCTGTCGGGGTTCGCTTTTCAAACTTATCACGAGCTTTGATAAGTTTGTCGTTACAAGCGTCACGACCTACATCCTCGAGGTTATGGATGTAAGCGTTCCACGCTTGAAGCAGTGAGGGACCATCACTTTTGTGATTCCCACTGTACCATCGATGTTTAAAGAAAGCATCGATGAAGAAATCATTCTCAGCGCGATAGTCTTTCGCACTGGGGTCAAGGTGATGAATCCTTGACGAATCGAACAACCGTGTTCGATAGCGATCACTTGTCGTCGCCGACAAGCGATCCATGACTGACTTTGGAGGCAGCCATGCTTTCTTTTCGGGAGAGAGACACAACACACTGCGGTCCCGCTCTTCCTGCGACGTGCCGACAGAAGCACTGGCACCTCTCTGTGAAGTGGCGTCAATAGGAGAACCGACACCACCATGAGCGCCTGAGTCTTGCGATCTCGAGCGCCTTCGCTTTGGCGATGGTTCATCTGATTCGTCAGACGAACCGGAGATGCTACGACGCGTAGCATCGTCCATGCCACGCTTGGCAGGCGGCTTGGATTCGATCGCCTTCGATACGGATCCCTCTTCCGTACCAGGGGAGTATGAGACACCGAGCTCATACTCTGTGAAGACATGAGTGTCTTCATGACGAGCGCCTGCATCACCAAGTGATACAGACTGAGACGCTTTAGCAACCGATGACGCATCGGTTGCTGTTGTTTCTGCTTCGGCGTCCGCACAGAGACGTGCATACGCGCTCTCAGCGGCCTTGTTCGCGCACCGCATGGACTTGCTAACCGTGCGATGAAACTGATGTACTGTGGACTCGGACCAACAAGTGCAAACCCTGTCCCAAATGATTTGGGACGAGTATCCATTTTGTTAATCAGTCACTAAAGTGACTGATGGTAAAGGGGGGTGATGTAACGGGGTGAACCGTTACATAACAATTTATAAGAAATTGTTAATAGAATATAACTATAAGAGTTATATTCTCAGAATATTGTCATAAGGACAAATATTCTATAGCACTTACAAGTAGTTCCTAATTGGTTGATATAGGCCATTATATCAACCAACGAAGACGCGCCACGACAGACGCACGCAATGAGTGGTGAGCAGATAGTTGATATACACATTTGTATTCAGACATAGTTAGATGAGGATAAACAGTGGTTTATTAACAGACATCAACTATGATAAATACAGTTCTACTTTTTACTTTAACTAAGTACTCGCTTCTCCTTACCGTCTTCCTCTGCACGTACCAGTGTACGTGAAATTACGAGGCACCGCCTTATTCTGTCGTCAGAATAAGTAGCTTGTACTGTCATCAGTACAAGCTTCAGGGTGCCCCGTTACAGGAACAACAAAGTGCAACCGCAGTTCAGCTGGATCTCCAAGCATTTCCAGAACTTTGCGAAGATCTTGACGTTTGCAAGGGTACACTTTTGCACACGTCGTTCGGAAAAGTTCGTTCGGCGTGCCCATTGCATTCACCGATTCAAAATTACCAGAAGCAGGCAACAGGTATGTTGGCGGATCGTCAGCGGTCACTCGGACGTTTCCCTCGAAAACGGTAACTTCCCGTTCTCGCAACACAACTTCTTCAATATCTTCATCAGTGGTGACTCGTGTAATCTTGCTATCGCCCTTCTCCCCACTTGTAGCTTTTCTTTTCGAGCCCGTAGTCAAGCGTCGAACTCGAAACCTTCCACCACGGGGTAGAATTGAATGCACGTACGACTCAAACAATGATCCATAGACCACTGCAAAAGAGCCGATGTTTGAGCAAGAAGAAAGAAATGCCAGTAATCTTCCCCTGTTTTTCGCAAATACATTGTGATATACCATGTTGAGGACGTGCCTCGACGCAAATTCATGCCCCTCATTAGAAAATTGTCGTTGAAACGGAAGTGAAGTATCCCGTGCGATACCATCATATCATTCGCGCTCATCTTTCCTTTCGAATTGACTATAGCCTCCAAATTAACCTCATCAATCGCTTCACCGAGCAGATTCTGTTGACTATCCACCATCGCAAAGCGCAAAACATAGCGTGCAATGCCGCCCCACTTACGATAACATTCCATCACGCATTCCAATGGCCTGTCCGAATGCATCAGCTCACGACATTGCAGAACTTCTTGCCCAGTCCAGACGGGTATGTAAAACCGTTCACAATCGTCTTTATAAAAAGCCTTCCAGACCTTCGGTTGTGGCGACGTAAGAAGGATTGTCTTCGCCTCGTAGTTAATTGGTGTGATGGCATCCACAACGTAAAATGTTTCGCTCTGACCGAGAACATCTTTGAAATTCGTGTTTGATCCTGCAACCGCTGTCCCGCCACAGAAAAGGAATCGATCCTCCCCTCTGGCAGGCTCGAAAACCACTGTTTCATTACGGCGTGCAAGATGTAGCAAGATGAAAAAGCCAAAAAAAACGTTTTGCCGATTCCCGGGTTGCCGAGAATCACAAGATTGTGAATTTCTGGGCGTTTTAGAGCAGCCAAACAAACGTTCCATAGCTGCGGATAGCAATGACGCATGTACATACGAGAGCCACATTTCCCCTGGCCAAGAATAAATGTGTCTTCTGGTAATGCGATAAGATTATCAGCGACGAGGTCGGTATTGGTGTAATCTTCTCGGAACGCTTTCCAGAATTTCGCCAGTCGAGTCCCCAAATTCAATTTTCCTGACGTGACAGTCTGCGGAAGCACCACCAACACGTGGACAACGTCTTCTCCAAGTAAAAGATCGGAACTGAACAGGCTTGGCTTTCCTAATTTCCACGACGCGTCCATCTTCTCCATTTAATCCAGAAATCCTTCAGTCTGAAGCAATTCGTCCAGATTAACGTCATAAGGCAGCCACGTCCTATTATCTTTTGCTAGATAGAGCTGCAGGTCACTGGCAACGCAAGTGTTGCTCGTTCGTTTCTTCTCCTTGATTGCATCCTTCAAGCTACCGACCAATTCATTCGTGTCAACCTCCACGACGAAAAGGCTTTCAGGCACACAGACGATGGCACAAACCAGCGAAACTACGACCATCTTCCGGAGAGTTGGCAGATTCTCGAATGGCAAAACTGGGACATTGTTTTGCATACAAAACGAGCAGCAAAAGTGATTATCAGGAAGGCAGACCGATGTAGACTCATGACGAGAGATGACTAGATGGGACACGAGTCGTGATGGGAAAGGGCAGGAACAGAGTGCTGTGGTAGTGTCCCAATGGTCGCACTCTTGATCCCAGTTACGTAGAAAGTCCAAGACGCGATTGATGCGTGAAAGACGTTCAAGAAGTCATCGACATTTTACGCTACTTTCATGTCCGAATGGAAGTTACACGATGACTGCTCCAGACACGGAAACAACGCCAAGTTCTTCTTTCTCACGCCCTGCGTGTGTCTTTCTTTTCCTGGTTAGAACTAATGGATGGACGGATGAGCGTGGGCGTGTGACATGGTGTTAATCGGAGAGAGAGAGAGAGTTTCATGACTATCTATTGACACATTATGATCATGTGCTAGAAGTCTGGAAATCGTCAAAGCCAGGAATACATCGCCGGATGCGGTGATGTTTCGTGGCACCGTGCTAGAGGGAGTGGAACGGCACTTGACTCTGGGGTAAAACGTTCAAGACAGGCATTTTTCTGAGCCCCTTGTACCATGTTTCTGTGCTTCTGTGTTCACGCACAGCCAAGGCTATTTATTGACGTACACCCCTAGTCCAGAAGCGGACCGCACTGGCAGGCTCCGTGGACTGCGCGCTACGAAGAACGACATCGTTTCAATCGCACCATAAGTGCGCCATGCAGATAGAGCACATCAGGAACCATATCCGTCGTCGCATCTATTTGCCCGCAGCGACATCGTCTTGAAAACTATCCAACAGCCAGGACCGCTAAACGCTGGAATTTTCGGATCCTGACCGTTGGCACAGTTGCCAAAGTAGCTAGAATAGGAAGTAGAAGCAGCGATGGCGCCGGTCCAATGTCGGAGGAATTTGCCCTAGAACGCACGCGCCTCGGGCACTCCCAAAACATGTGTAGAGAAGTCTCAGGAACCGCTTGACGCTCCTGCACTACACGACAGCTATTGTCCGCGGGGCGCCCCGCGTGATAGAAATTGAGTTGCTCGGTAGCGATGCGATGCGCCGTCTAGACGTGAAAGTCAGAGAGCCCGTTGTCATGCTTCCAGACCTGTGAAGGAAGCTGATGGGCCGCCGCCCGGAGCTAAGTATCCGTGCGAACAACCGAATCTATTCTATCCAGCAAGGGTTGCAAGGGTAGTGTTAGTAAGCGTTTGTGGAGCTAAAGCGCCTGGCGATCCATTGCCTGAAGTAAGGAACCATCGTTTTTGGACCGTATAAGGCACCGTCCAAGCATACCGATGATGGAGAGGGGTGCGTAAATGACCACTCTGCGCTGCCTGAGTTGCGTAGCCCAACTTAAACGCATTTCGGCCGAGTCCGTGTCTAGCTCAGGTGGCACCGTCTCAAAGAACCCGTGCAGCCCGTCGGCGGCCTGCCTTAAGCAAACCAGACCCACTTTTGACTGCCAAAGACCTCTACGAGTACCGACGATGCAGATTCGTCACATAAGCACCCAGTCGAAGTCATGCCGAAACGGGGGGATGGCAAATTGACTAAACAGGCTCCATATCCAGTCCCGACCGAAACCAGGCAATAAGTCGACGTTAACAAAAAAGCAGTCGCTCACCACCATAATTTAGGCTGATAGTACGTAACACTCTCCAGCCGCGGCAATAAAATGGTAAGCACAAACTCGGTTTGGGCCGTCCTCCGACCGTGTAGACGCGCGATCGAACAGGCTTCAATTTGGTCATATTCTGAGTGCTGCAGTTGCGCACCTGTAGCATCCTAAATCCACGGGTTACTGCTCCAGCCAAAGTTCACCCAATTTGGGTCATCGCTTGAGAAAGATAATCGGGGGTATCATGGGCATCAGGAAAGGGAGCTGAGTAAGACAGCACTCAGTCATCTTTGTCCCACCAGCTGCTAGCGGATCGCACCAGTGACGCATAATGGGTTGATAGCCGATGTCGGCGGTGCTCCGCCTGCTCCGCCGTCGGCTCGAGAAGCCTGTACTGGTCCGTAGCAAAACAATCTTTTGCTGACTGCCGTGAACGGGACGGTTGCGTATTATCCCGCAGCCATTCGTGCTTTAGCAGACCAGAACGAGTAGACCTACCTTGGTACGCCCAGGCACGCCATGCATGATAATACTTTTTATGGTATTGAGTCAGCCATCGCAGTGCGTGTTTCGTGGGTTGCGTTATCATAGCCACCTAAACCGAGGCGAGACCTACGCCGGCCGGTTGTTTCGTCGCGTACAGTAAATCAGGACTGATCTTGTGGCGACTTGCTTCAGTTGAGGTTGCGTGAGCCCACATGAATTGTTTAGATTGATTATGAATGTCCTTGCGGGTCCATTCGGGCATCTCACACACCGCTGTCGTGAATAGGATCAACGTTAAACCGATCGCATTGAGAATGACCACCCGTTTGGCAACACTCGTTGTGATCATCGAAGCTGTAAGCAATCTCCGCTGGAGCCGCCTAATCCGAAGCATCCAGTACCGATGGTGGAGCTCACCCGTTCCGACGTCGTACTGCATGTACCGCGCGGTCTCTCCAGACTGAATTTTGAAAATGCCTTGATTTCCAGCCCCCTGAAAAGCTAGTTTACAAAAATGAATTTACTCTTGGTCATCTGGGCATGCAATCCGGACAAGATGCCAAAGCGAGCTACGAGATTGGGTTCCAGTGTCAAATGTTGCGCTTTTTCGAAAAAGATGGTCGAGTCATCAACAAAGGCGGAAAGTGTGTGAGACTCACCTCCGCCTCCTGGGACTGGAGGCCCTTCGAAGTCCAAAGATTGGTTGATAGTAACCCCCAAGATCTCAACCGCCAAAAGGAAGAGTGAGCGGGCAGCCTGTCGAATACCTGACACTACAAAAATACGGCGAATGTTCTGGTCCTTGGGAATGAAATCGGAACACTCGCCGTTTACGAGAAAGGACGCTGTCGTTCCTAATGCAACCTGGAAATGAGCTGGATATCGTTTACCGATACCCAACTGCGTAGAGCTTCACACACGAAGTCGCGGTCGACCGTGTCATACGCCTTCCGACAGTCCACTAATAAGACGACTCGGATATTGCTCACAGCCGTAGCCTCATCGATTCGGGCCGTAGCAAGATGGGACGTCATCATCATCACAAGCTTTGACATGTGTCGGCCGTGGACAGAACCTTGCTAGGAATTCCCAATTCGTTTGGGCAAACCCTCTGTAGACGCCTCGCCAACACATTGACGAATATATTTTAACCCGTTTGCAATGAAGAGATACGTCGATAGTCGATGGCGTCTGTCAAGGCACCGTTCTTGCGTTACGGGATATGGCTTGCTTCTAAAACGATGGTGGGGGATCTATCGAAGAATCAGTGGTCGCAATAAATATGGCAGTCGGCCGACCCCTTCCATTCACGCGCAGAATCTTATCTATGATGGTGTAGTAAAGTGGGCGGGAATGGTGGTTTCGAAGAGATGGAAGCATGGTAGCAGCTTGGTAACGACAATAACATTTCTATATTTGTATTGGCATATTCCTGATCTAAAAGGATCAGCCTTCACGTGTGACGTGAAAGCTGTCGATTTCAACGTCCAACATGTTCATGTTGAACGGACACTAAGTAGTCGTTGGACATACTATGAAGTGCTACCAGGTGTAACGGGGATGCCACAAAAATTCACGTACACTTGTACGTGCAGAGGAGGCTAATCTACTTGAAATGCTAGTTTATGTAACGATAGAACGAAAAATGTATTAAATATAGTTAAGCTATCGATATAACTTCAGTCTTTATCTAACTAAGATAAAACTACGTCGTCGTATGACGACAACCTGCTCACCACTCATTACGCGCGTCTAGCAGCGATTGGTAGTAATCTATGGTTGATATGTCTTCTATCATCCAATCTTCGAGGAGCACATGAACATTATCCAAAAGAGGATAATATTCCTACAATACTATCCATCTAGGATACTGTTGGTAGGAAATTGTCACGCTAGACAATATCCCTATTGACACCGTTTGGTGTCGATATCATGTAATGAGATACGCCGTTACAGGTGACGTGTGATAATAACAGTGCCAAATTTTGGTGAACGAACCACTTCTTACAGGGAAGACGGACACTCGACCAGCTGAAACGTGACGCACCACGGTGTGGACGGCCCCGAATTATAAGTGTAGGTATCCAAATCGTTAATATCAATATCCGCAGGACTTTTCTTTTCGAGGTACGCTGCGATGCACCCAATTTCGTGAAAACAAGTCAAGTTGAAGAGCTTTACAGTGTACTCCGTTTGTGACCCACCCAAGCGTCCATCCGGATTGCTCTGGTCCAGCCATACCTATCCACTGACAGCTTGTGACCATTCTTCAGTGTGTACACCCTGCCCTGTAAAGTAATTTGAACGGCTTGTTGCTGAGCAGCATCTTCCGGAGAAAAGAAGTAGAAGAGGATATTTCTTGTTCTGCTATAGCTGATGGTCTTGGTCATCCTGAGTAGTGTATGAATGTTACGGATGTCAACTCGCGCCAGCTCCGCCATTCCAGGATCATGTTCATGATCGATCGCGAGTCCGACTACTGACTGATATCTCGCGTCAAGTACCGATTTGAAGCACAAGTTGGCCTTCCTCCTGCGCCTGGATGGTGCTATACAGACGATGACGTTCTTTACAGTCCATGAAAGCCCGTCGGAAGTCCGGATCATCCATCGACAAGCAACTTCTCCTCCGTCAATGGCAATGCTGACCTTCCACTCGTCATCAGTACCTTCGCACAACCTGCAAGTGCTGGCAAGTCTAAAGCGGGTCTTGCACAGAGTGGCTAGAGTGCCGAATTTGACTGGCGAATATTTTGCCGATTTAAATGTGAAAATCTCGTACACGGTCCGTCGCGGCCCAGCGACCTCTGCCTGTACTGACTGTGTCTCGCGACGTACGACTTGTGCCCACG